GGTTTTATAGGAAGCCAGTGATGCAGAACCTGGTTGTATTGTTAGTTGACCTGTCAAGTGGTCCAGTTGTTGATGCTCTAACCAGGGTCTCACTGTACTAGTCATGTCATTGGTCTCACTGTACTGAGTAGCCTTGTAGATTGTGGTTGTTCAGTGGTAGTAGCCTTGTAGATTGTTGGTTGTTTAGTGATAGTAGCCTTGTAGATTGTTGGTTGTTTAGTGATAGTAGCCTTGTAGATTGTTGGTTGTTCAGTGATAGTAGCCTTGTAGATTGTTGGTTGTTCAGTGGTAGTAGCCTTGTAGATTGTTGGTTGTTTAGTGATAGTAGCCTTGTAGATTGTTGGTTGTTCAGTGATAGTAGCCTTGTAGATTGTTGGTTGTTTAGTGATAGTAGCCTTGTAGATTGTTGGTTGTTCAGTGATAGTAGCCTTGTAGATTGTTGGTTGTTCCAGCTACTCTTGCGATCTCATGTTGTTTACACATGCCTCGATGAAAAAGTCAACTAATCTTCTAAACAATTAGCCAACAATACCAAACACCAGATAAATACTCAAACAATCGATCCACAACTGCATGTACACAAAAGCAACGATATCTCCCAGGATTAGCTCAGATCGGCTTCTGGAATTAGCGGCCTTTCTTTAACCAGGGTTAATAGGAAGCCAGTGATGCAGAACCTGATTGTATTGTTAGTTGACCTGTCAAGTGGTCCAGTTGTTGACCGTCTGTGTCAGCATTTGCTGGCTGTTGACAGTTTTTTCTGGTGTGGGGGGGGGGGGGGGGTAAACAACTAGATTAGTGGACATTTATAGCACACCCTCCACAAGATATTTTATACTTTTTATTACAGGTAGTAATTAATCATTGAGACAAGCCTGTATTTCTAAAAATATCGTTATAGCTTGGGGGGGGGGAAGTCACAGTGAAGGTATTGTTGTCCGTGGACCGTTTGGCTTGCATGTCTGTCTGTCATGTTGTCTGTCATACTGTCTGTCATGTTGTCTGTCATACTGTCTGTCATGTTGTCTGTCATATTGTCTGTTATACTGTCTGTCATATTATCTGTCATACTGTCTGTCATGTTATCTGTCATACTGTCTGTCATGTTGTCTGTCATATTGTCTGTTATACTGTCTGTCATGTTATCTGTCATACTGTCTGTCATGTTATCTGTCATACTGTCTGTCATGTTGTCTGTCATACTGTCTGTCATACTGTCTGTCATGTTGTCTGTCATTGTGTCTCTCATGGTGTCTGTCAAGTTGTCTCTCATGTTGTCTAGACAACTAATCACATCATATTTACACTTGTTACTGTCACCAATCATGCTAGATTGTCTCCCATCATATGAAGTTACACAACTTCTTCTAAAGATTGTTTCCCATCATAAGAAGTTACACAACTTCTTCAAAAGATGGTCTCCCATCATAAGAAGTTACACAGCTTCTTCAAGAGATTGTCTCCCATCATAAGAAGTTGCGCAACTTCTTCAAGAGATTGTCTCCCATCATAAGAAGTTACACAGCTTCTTCAAAAGATTGTCTCCCATCATAAGAAGTTACACACCTTCAAAAGATTGTCACCCAGTATAAGTTCTTCTTGAAGATAGAATACATGTTTATATTAAATGCCAAATAAGGTCTAAGATTTTTTATTTATGTAGCATTTTTTACTGCATGGAACATTGTATCTCTCATTTGGAATAGATAAAACATTTACATTAGATGTTTTGTTTTTACAAATACTGACCCTAAAGCTGATAAAGAGTTGTCCATTCAAGTTTAGCCAGTTTTACCCCTCCCACCACTCAGCTCTATAGAAAACATTCCTCTCCTCCCCCCTCTTCCTCTATGTAGACTATTGTCAAAAAGTCTGAAGCCACCCTAGCTGGCTGACTATAGGTGACATGTTGTACCACACCCACTTGCAGTGAGGCTGGTCAAAGTTTGATGTTGACACAAGATGCATTTTGTCAGTTCGTAGTACAGGTTAAGCCTGGGGGGGGGGGGGTGTCATACTGAGAGCCATCAGGTATTCACCACACCTGCCTGTCTAGTGGGTAACCTAGTTAAATCAATGTGTGGGTCACATTCACCTGCAGCTTCCCTGGTCTAGTTCATTAGTGTAGTTTCTGTACTGTTATTATGGTCATCACTTGCCTCTAAACTTTCATTATCATCATGTTTCTAATATTTCCTTCTGGACACCAGCACATCATGACTTTTAAATCAGACGCACACTCACCCTCCCCTCCCAAATCACTGACCACACACTCACTAACTCTACACACTCGTCAACACTACACACCATCAATGCTACACACCATCAACACAGCATACACACCATCAACACTACACACACACCATCAACACAGCATACTCACCATCAACACAGCATACTCACCATCAACACTACACACCATCAACACTACACACACACACCATCAACACTACACACAACTCACCATCAACACTACACACACACACACACCATCAACACTACACACTCACCATCAACACTACACACCATCAACACTACACACCATCAACACTACACACACACACCATCAACACTACACACTCACCATCAACACTACACACCATCAACACTACACACCATCAACACTACACACTCACCATCAACACACACACTATCAACACTACACTCACCATCAACACACACACCATCAACACTACAGTCACCATCAACACAGCATACTCACCATCAACACTACACACTCACCATCAACACACACACCATCAACACTACACACTCACCATCAACACTACACACTCACCATCAACACAACACACCATCAACACTACACACTCACCATCAACACACACACCATCAACACTACACACTCACCATCAACACTACACACACACCATCAACACTACACACCATCAACACTACACACTCACCATCAACACTACACACTCACCATCAACACAACACACCATCAACACTACACACTCACCATCAACACTACACACCATCAACACTACACTCACCATCAACACTACACACCATCAACACTACACACTCACCATCAACACTACACACTCACAATCAACACTACACACTCACCATCAACACAACACACCATCAACACTACACACTCACCATCAACACACACACCATCAACACTACACACTCACCATCAACACTACACACACACCATCAACACTACACACCATCAACACTACACACTCACCATCAACACAACACACCATCAACACTACACACTCACCATCAACACTACACACCATCAACACTACACTCACCATCAACACTACACACCATCAACACTACACACTCACCATCAACACTACACACTCACAATCAACACTACACACTCACCATCAACACAACACACCATCAACACTACACACCATCAACACAACTCACCATCAACACAACTCACCATCAACACAACACACTCACCATCAACACAACACACCATCAACACTACACACCATCAACACAACTCACCATCAACACTACACTCACCATCAACACAACACACTCACCATCAACACAACACACCATCAACACTACACACTCACCATCAACACAACACACTATCAACACTACACACCATCAACACTACACACCATCAACACAACTCACCATCAACACTACACACTCACCATCAACACTACACACCATCAACACTACACTCACCATCAACACTACACACACCATCAACACTACACACTCACCATCAATGCTACACACCATCAACACAACTCACCATCAACACTACACACCATCAACACTACACACCATCAACACTACACTCACCATCAACTCTACACACCATCAACACTACACACCATCAACACAACACACCATCAACACTACACTCACCATCAACACTACACACCATCAACACTACACACCATCAACACAACTCACCATCAACACTACACTCACCATCAACACTACACACCATCAACACAACACACCATCAACACAACAACTCGCCATCAACACTACACTCACCATCAACACTACACACCATCAACACAACACACCATCAACACAACACACCATCAACACTACACACCATCAACACTACACACCATCAACACTACACACCATCAACACTACACACCATCAACACAACACACCATCAACACTACACTCACCATCAACACTACACACTCACCATCAATGCTACACACCATCAACACTACACCCCATCAACACACCACACCATCAACACTACACACCATCAACACTACACACCATCAACACTACACACCATCAACACTACACAACATCAACACTACACACTCACCATCAACACTACACACACACCATCAACACAACACACCATCAACACTACACTCACCATCAACACTACACACCATCAACACTACACACCATCAACACAACTCACCATCAACACTACACTCACCATCAACACTACACACCATCAACACAACACACCATCAACACAACAACTCACCATCAACACTACACACCATCAACACAACAACTCACCATCAACACTACACACCATCAACACAACACACCATCAACACAACACACACCATCAATGCTACACACCATCAACACTACACACCATCAACACTACACACCATCAACACTACACTCACCATCAACACTACACACCATCAACACAACACACCATCAACACTACACACACACCATCAATGCTACACACCATCAACACTACACCCCATCAACACACAACACCATCAACACTACACACCATCAACACTACACACCATCAACACTACACAACATCAACACTACACACTCACCATCAACACAACACACCATCAACACTACACACACACCATCAACACTACACACCATCAACACTACACACCATCAGCACTACATACCATCAACACACTCACCTACAAAGCTACACACATTCAACTTTTAGCCTATAGTATTTTGTACAGAGTTGACAAGCAACATGTTTACACTGATGACTTTATTTTTTGCTTATGTTCCCACAGGCCAAAGGTGGAGAGCTGGATACCCCACAACATTTTATAGCTGAACTTTTAAACCCTGACATCAAAGGTGCTAAACGGACGGCAGTCCTAGAGGCCTTGAGAGTCTCACTGACCAGTAAACCTGTCAGGTATGTCTTGACTGGACAGTTACATTGACTTTCTGACAACTGTAGTCAAACTATTGACTGGACAGTTGCATTGACTTTCTGACAATAGTAGTCAAACTATTGACTGGACAGTTGCATTTACTTTTATGACAATAGTAGTCAAACTGTTGTCTGGACAGTTGCATTTACTTTCTGACAATAGTAGTCAAACTGTTGACTGGACAGTTGCATTGACTTTCTGACAATAGTAGTCCAACTATTGTCTGGACAGTTGCATTGACTTTCTGACAAGAGTAGTCAAACTGTTGACTGGACAGTTTTATTGACTTTCTGACAATAGTAGTCAAACTGTTGTCTGGACAGTTGCATTGACTTTCTGACAAGAGTAGTCAAACTGTTGTCTGGACAGTTGCATTGACTTTCTGACAAGAGTAGTCAAACTGTTGTCTGGACAGTTGCATTGACTTTCTGACAATAGTAGTCAAACTGTTCCAGTAAATTAAAATCTTATATTGGGTTTGTAATAAAATTACCTGGTGTTCTTAATACTTATTTAATTATTTTTTTTTACACAGTTGGGTCCAGGAATTTGGTGAAAGGGGACTTAACTCTATCTTAAAGAATTTAACCTACTGCTGTGACAAGTAAGTTTATTTTTATAACCAATCATTAAGTGTTCAATATTTAAGGTTGAGAGAAATATTTAAGTATTAATGAACATTTTTAAAATCAAATGTGGTTTTTTTTTTTTGTGTGATTGTTATTAGTGTTGGATGCCAACACACCTCAAAAAAAGTTTGTACAGCTACACAAATAAAAAAAAAATTCTGAAAAAAAAACAACCAACAAAACCAATACAACCTTGATCCAAGTCTGTTGTTATCTTATAGCTATAGGTACTACGAAACCTCAGAAAAGTTGAGTATATCATGCCCAGACACTTCTCATCTATTCCCTTTATGCCTTGAACATTCTTCTAAATTGATATGAATACCTCTTGTAGCTGAGAATGTTTGGAATTAAATTTTTTAAAGTGCTATTAACACTATTTGTTAGTTATTTGGTTTTTTTTTCATCCATATTATGACAATTTTACATTCAATGAAATTGACGGGAGAAAAGTATCAATACATTTGAAAAAACTTGTTTGGCCGTCAATCCTAGTCCAGCACAAAGGAAATAGAATGGCATCAAGTGTTATATTTTTTCATTACTAGCATTCTGTTCAAACTTGTAAAATAAAAGATGGTGCTAAAACTCCATTTTTTTAAAACTGTGCCTTCAGTAGCCACTCTTTAGAGTATCTTTAGGCTTATCAAAGTTAACTCTCCTATGTGAATAAGTTAATTAAAAATAATTAAATAACCTTCCCCTCAAGTTTGCATCTCCTCAAATCTAATCTTGTCTTATCAAGGACCTAATTAGTAAGGTTCTCCTATCTCCCCCCACCCCTCTCCCAATGTCTCGTTATTGTCATTAAACCTCCTAAAATACATTCAAGCTGATGAGGGTTTGAGTGAATAGCTCGATGTCCTGCTACCCTGCTGGATTTTGTGTTGGGTACCCACACATTCTGTTAGTGCTGACCTCACATCAAACTGGTGTGGGATACAAAAGTCTTTGTGTTGGGTACCCACACATTGTCTTAGTGCTGACTTCAAACTTGTGTGGGATACAAAAAACACACAAAACCTTCACAAGATGTGAATATTGGCACTAACTGTGAACTCATACAAAACCTTCACAAGATGTGAATATTGGCACTTACTGTGAACTCATACAAAACCTTCACAAGATGTGAATATTGGCACTTACTGTGAACTCATACAAAACCTTCACAAGATGTGAATATTGGCACTTACTGTGAACTCATACAAAACCTTCACAAGATGTGAATATTGGCACTAACTGTGAACTCATACAAAACCTTCACAAGATGTCAATATTGGCACTAACTGTGAACTCATACAAAACCTTCACAAGATGTCAATATTGGCACTAACTGTGAACTCATACAAAACCTTCACAAGATGTGAATATTGGCACTTACTGTGAACTCATACAAAACCTTCACAAGATGTGAATATTGGCACTTACTGTGAACTCATACAAAACCTTCACAAGATGTGAATATTGGCACTAACTGTGAACTCATACAAAACCTTCACAAGATGTGAATATTGGCACTAACTGTGAACTCATACAAAACCTTCACAAGATGTCAATATTGGCACTAACTGTGAACTCATACAAAACCTTCACAAGATGTCAATATTGGCACTAACTGTGAACTCATACAAAACCTTCACAAGATGTGAATATTGGCACTAACTGTGAACTCATACAAAACCTTCACAAGATGTGAATATTGGCACTTACTGTGAACTCATACAAAACCTTCACAAGATGTGAATATTGGCACTAACTGTGAACTCATACAAAACCTTCACAAGATGTGAATATTGGCACTTACTGTGAACTCATACAAAACCTTCACAAGATGTGAATATTGGCACTAACTGTGAACTCACACAAAACCTTCACAAGATGTGAATATTGGCACTTACTGTGAACTCATACAAAACCTTCACAAGATGTGAATATTGGCACTAACTGTGAACTCACACAAAACCTTCACAAGATGTGAATATTGGCACTTACTGTGAACTCATACAAAACCTTCACAAGATGTGAATATTGGCACTAACTGTGAACTCACACAAAACCTTCACAAGATGTGAATATTGGCACTTACTGTGAACTCATACAAAACCTTCACAAGATGTCAATATTGGCACCTACTTTGAACTCCTATACAAAACCCAGCATATTTCAGCATTTGATGGTTGTTTCTATACATACCAAATATACTTTGTTTATTTGCTTCACTCAACAAAAAAACACCCTCTTTGTTCCCCTCCCCACCCACATATCACCTATGTTCTCACATTGTTACAATTCCTACATCTATCCACACACACATCATATTGATAGAATTTGTTGTCCACTACTGTTGGTTTGTTTTCCAATGTTTGATTGTCATTTTTATGATATGGTTTTGTTTTTAATTAGTGTAATCAAAAAATGTGTAAACATTTACACATTGTATATGCATGTGTTATACTAATTTGAAGCAATGGAGATTTCTAAATTTTACAACTGTTTAGATACTATAGCTCAGACACATTAAGATTAGAAATAACTTTGATAGAATCCTATTTTCTTTGGTGTTTGGTAAACCTAAAGAGCCCTGTTTTAGTGACTAACGAATTAGCCAGTTGTCTTGCAGGTTGAAATATCGTAAAGAGAATCAACATGGCATCAAATATTCTTCTCAAATTCCTTTTTAGCACATTTTTTCAGTGCCTATTTGAGCTTCTAAACTTAAAAATTTAATTTGAAAAGAAAAATAACATGCCTAAGTTGAGGGAGGTCTGTTTGAAAACTGAATCAATCAAATTTGTTTAATAACTGTAGCTCACCATTTCTCCTCAGTATTTCGGAGCGGAGAAGTACGTATGAATGTGTGCGATGCTTGAAAGCTTTCATGAACAACAAGGTTTGTAGAACTGTGATCCATGTTTGTACGTTAGCTCCACCTGTATGTGCTCCATTTATTGTTCCAACAGTTTGACAGACATTTGTTGGTGGCTAAATTAAGTTCAATCTTGTTTAAATGTGGTCTGTACATTGTATCATGTGCATGCTACCAAGGTCTATGTCCATTGTGCAACATTGAAATACTTAGCTATAATTAGAGAAAAAAATACTATTGTTTAGTGTGTATGTCTTAACAGTAGATACGTACAGTATTCATGCTTTACACAGCAAGCATGGCAAGCAGCATGTGTAAGCATGTTTTTGTACCAATATTTCAGTTTGGGCTAAAGAGTATTTTGGACCATGAGGAAGCTTTGACCATACTGTCCCGTACTGTGGACCCAGCAGACCCACCCACAATGCTTGAAGCTGTTCGTTTGTTGGCTGCCATGTGTCTTGTGCCTCCTAATGGGTATATTGTAAACATTTTATCTGCTGTCTGATTGGCTGAACAAGTGTAGTGTAAACAGTGTATCTGTTGTCTGATTGGCTGAATGCATGTTTGAAAATATTGTATCTGCTATCAGATTGGTTGAATGGATGTATGGTAAACAATCTACTTGCTCTCTAATTGGTCAATTGGGAATTTTGTAAATATAGTCTCACTGGTTGGCTGAATGTGTTGTTTTTTTTTTTGTAAAAAATTAACTTAGTCTTACTACTTAACTTTTGTTATGCTGTTTTTAAAGAATAAAATTACCGTTACATTTGACCACTAAATTCAGTTACAGTTTTTTTTAAAAACGTTGCACCAAAATATTGCATGAACCTGTTGTTTTCTGTTACAGCCATGAGAAAGTTCTAGAAGGGATGACAGTGTGTGGAGAAATCCGCAACCAGGAGAGGTTTAACCCTATCATCTCTGGGCTGGGTATGAGGGATCAGCCTGCCATGCAGGTAAGGTTTTTCTCTTCATGCTGGAGCTAGGTTAGGTTTTTCTCTTCATGCTGGAGCTAGGTAAGGTTTTTCTCTCCATGCTGGAGCTAGGTATCTCACTGTTTAAAGTAATATCATGGTTGAGGTAATGTTGGTAATGCTGCAAGTTGAACTAGTATAATGGTTGAAGTAATGTTGGTAATGCTGCAAGTTGAACTAGTATAATGGTTGAAGTAATGTTGGTAATGCTGCAAGTTGAACTAGTATAATGGTTGAAGTAATGTTGGTAATGCTGCAAGTTGAACTAGTATCATGGTTGAAGTAATGTTGGTAATGCTGCAGGTTGAACTAGTATAATGGTTGAAGTAATGTTGGTAATGCTGCAAGTTGAACTAGTATAATGGTTGCAGTAATGTTGGTAATGCTGCAGGTTGAACTAGTATAATGGTTGAAGTAATGTTGGTAATGCTGCAGGTTGAACTAGTATAATGGTTGAAGTAATGTTGGTAATGCTGCAGGTTGAACTAGTATAATGGTTGAAGTAATGTTGGTAATGCTGCAGGTTGAACTAGTATAATGGTTGAAGTAATGTTGGTAATGCTGCAAGTTGAACTAGTATAATGGTTGAAGTAATGTTGGTAATGCTGCAAGTTGAACTAGTATAATGGTTGAAGTAATGTTGGTAATGCTGCAAGTTGAACTAGTATTATGGTTGAAGTAATGTTGGTAATGCTGCAGGTTGAACTAGTATAATGGTTGAAGTAATGTTGGTAATGCTGCAAGTTGAACTAGTATAATGGTTGCAGTAATGTTGGTAATGCTGCAGGTTGAACTAGTATAATGGTTGAAGTAATGTTGGTAATGCTGCAGGTTGAACTAGTATAATGGTTGAAGTAATGTTGGTAATGCTGCAAGTTGAACTAGTATAATGGTTGAAGTAATGTTGGTAATGCTGCAAGTTGAACTAGTATCATGGTTGAAGTAATGTTGGTAATGCTGCAAGTTGAACTAGTATAATGGTTGAAGTAATGCTGGTAATGCTGCAAGTTGAACTAGTATAATGGTTGAAGTAATGTTGGTAATGCTGCAAGTTGAACTAGTATAATGGTTGAAGTAATGTTGGTAATGCTGCAAGTTAATCTAAAATCCTTGCATATGTCCGCAGGTGGCCTGTATACAGCTGGTCAACGCCATCGTCTTCACCCCAGATGACCTGGACTTTAGGATGCATTTAAGAAATGAGTTTATGCGAGCTGGACTCATTGATCTACTGACTGTAAGTCTTGACCAAATATCTCTTTTACTTAGAAGTTCGTTTTGTTGGGGAGTACATGACAATATGGTCCATGATTATTGTGGTCCATGATTACTTTGGTACATGACAATGTGGTCCATGAATATTGAGGTACATGACAATGTGGTCCATGATTACTTTAGTACATGACAACATGGGCTATGTTTATTCTAGTACATGACAGTATGGTCCATGATAACTGTGATACATGACAATGTGGTCCATAAATATTGTGGTACATGACAATGTGGTCCATGTTTATTGTGATACATAACAATATGGTCCATGTTTATTGTGGTACATGACAATATGGTCCATGTTTATTGTGGTACATGACAATATGGTCCATGTTTATCATGCGCAGTGGCTGGAACAACAAGGGGACATGGAGCTACAGACCCACGTCAAGATCTTCAATGAGCACAAGGAAGAGGACCAGGAAGATTTCTCACATCGCTATGACAACATCAGCATGGAGATTGAATATCCTTTTAGTTTATATGGGGGGGGGGGGGGGGGCCGAACAAATAACATCAGCATGGAGATTGAATAACCTTATAGTAAGAGGGTAATGGAGTGTAGCTAAATGGTCTTGGGGTATCCTAGGACCATATGTCATCAAGCTGAAGACACACACATTTTCTTATGCATAATTGTTATAATCAAAGTTCAAGACACCTTAAATGTAAGATAAGCCTAAATAAAATAGGCAGCTGCAAAAAGTTCTGGATACTATAAAACAGTACCTGATAAGTATTTAGATTTTATAATTTCCTGTATTTGCTTAATCCTTTTTTGTTGGGAAACATGATGGGTTGCTGTAGTTAACCTTTTCCTCATGTATGGAAGTTCCCACTGAAAGGAATGTAGGCATGCATCAAACATTGGGGAGGGGGTAGCTCTATTAGTAAAACTAAGTAAAAATAAGAGTAACCATAACCAAGTTGTGGGACCAAAAAATGTTGGAAGAAACCTTAACTGTCCCACAGATCCTAGGGCTTGTTTTAATCTTATACTCAGCTCCGTGAGCAACACAGTGGCCGAGCCATACTTCCTCTCTATCCTACAGCATCTTCTGCTCATCAGAGATGACTTGTTTGCTAGGTGAGTCTCTGGTTGCTTGACTTGGTTGCTAGGAGAATCTCTAGTTGGTTAGACTTGTTTGCTAGGTGAGTCTCTTGTTGGTTAGACTTGGTTGCTAGGTGAGTCTCTTGTTGGTTAGACTTGGTTGCTAGGTGAGTCTCTGGTTGGTTAGACTTGGTTGCTAGGTGAGTCTCTTGTTGGTTAGACTTGTTTGCTAGGTGAGTCTCTGGTTGGTTAGACTTGGTTGCTAGGTGAGTCTCTTGTTGGTTAGACTTGTTTGCTAGGTGAGTCTCTGGTTGGTTAGACTTGGTTGCTAGGTGAGTCTCTTGTTGGTTAGACTTGTTTGCTAGGTGAGTCTCTGGTTGGTTAGACTTGTTTGCTATTATTTTCTTTACATACTGACTTGAAAGTTAATTTTAAACACCAATTTGTGGGCTCACAGATGTTTGTGATGTGAATGTTTTCAGGCCGCAGTACTACAAACTGATTGAAGAATGTATCACACAAATCGTCCTCCACCGTAGTGGCTGCGACCCAGACTTTAGATTAACCCAGAGATTTGAAATTGACGTGGAACCTTTGCTAAGTAAGATTTTTTTATTGTGACAACTCGACAATTTAAATAATTTGGGGAAAAAACTTTGCAAAAAAATATTGCATTAACCATTAATGTCCCATTCATTCTACCAAAACTCCACCCATGACGGCCCAATGTAAGGAGCATAACTCTGTATGATCAAGAGAATAGTTTCACAAAATATTTGTTTTTGTCTAAATGAAATTGAAAATTAAGATAAAAAGTACTGCTTAATTTTGGGAATAAACCTGGCTTTCCAACAGTATTAAATAGAATATATTATATTCGGTACAAGTACAGAATAAAAATAAAAAATGTCGGAGAAAATTCAAAACAGGTCATTTTTGGTAGTCAACTTTATTTATTTTTGTCTAAACAACTATGCATCGAATTTAACAGTTAAATATCAATTTGGTTATGTTTAAGATATATAATTCATAAAATACATGCCTAGATACGTTTAGAGGCATTATTTTATTTTATTTTTAATATTAAATCTACTAAAAATAGGACAGATGAGTCTAAAATTTCGAGATAGAAAGAAACTTTTATTTTTTATCTTTCAAAAGCGCCATTGAAATTAGAAGACCGGAAAAGGATGCTGAAAGTATCCGACTTCCTGTTTAGTTAAAAATTAGGATTTGTAGGCCAAATTTTAGTGAAACAAATTTAATTTTTCTATGCGTATTGTAAGCGGGCGGCAGCGGGCGTTACGGGACATTAACGGTGTCGGGCGGCAGCGGGCGTTACGGGACATTAATGGTTAACTTATCATTTACTGTTACTTTCAAATTATTTTCAAATTTGATTTGTGTTTTTAGCTTTAATTTTAAATTCAATTCAGTCCAACTATTGTAAAAAAAATTTCAGATACCTTGTCAGAAAGATCAAAATTTGAAGACACTGGTGAAATGAGTGTAGCAGACATGACCATTAAGTTGGACAATGCCCTGACGGCCAAACAAGAGTCAGAGGCCAAGGCCACCAGTCTAGAGGGCAAAATACAACAGTATGAGCTAGAACTAACACAGCTGAAAGAAAAAGTATGTAACCCCCCCCCCCCCCCCCCCCCCCTGCTCCCTCCTCTTAACAGTGGTAAAGATTAAAATTAGTTTTTACATTTGGTGAAATTAAAATAATTTTATTTTAGAATTAATTTTAATTTTGCTTGAGCCAAAGTTTAAAATTTGAAAACTAGAAGCATGAATAACTAATGTGATGTCTGTGTTGTTGTGTTTTACTGCTGTGTACAGGATCATATCAGTATACTAATGTTGTTGTTTGACTTTTCTAGATCAGTCAGGGCATTGGGGCCAACATCAGTGCTGTTCTAAACAAAAGTCCAGGTGGACCCCCACCCCCACCTGGGGGCCCCCCTCCTCCACCCCCTCCTCCCCCTCCTCCTGGTGGCGGCCCTCCTCCACCCCCTCCACCTCCCCCACCACCTGGAGGGGGCCCACCTCCCCCGCCACCTCCCCCACCATTTGGAGGACCCCCTCCGCCACCCCCACCCCCTGGGATGGGTCCACCACCTCCACCAGGTATGGGCCCCCCTCCTCCGCCTGGTATGGGTCCCCCACCCCCTCTTGCATTTTCCCCACCTTCAAACCAGCTGCCTTTTGGAATGGCACCCAAGAAGAAATATCAGGCTACCAACACCAAGAGATTAAACTGGAATAAAGTAAGAGATATCTCTTATCTTAATCTGATACCTCAGTGTATCCTAATATTTATTTTATTCTTGTTTACTTTTTGTTGAATTCATACATCTGTAGCTGTACCCTTATTTTATTGCTGTTGATAGCTGAACCCATATTTTATTGCTGTTGATAGCTGAACCCATATTGTACTGCTGTTGAAGTTAGCTCTATCTCCTGTTTCCACAGCTGAACCCCAAACAGCTAGAGAAAGATTCCATCTGGGTGCAACTAAGAGAAGAGGAATTTGAGAGCCCAGATATTTTTAGCACCCTAGAAGAGATGTTTTCCACAAAAGCCCCACGTAGGTTTTTTAACAATTTTAACTCAACTTTACCTGTGCTGGTGGAAACAGTTTAATACAATTTATTTTTTTATAATTTAAAAATTTATTTCTCAAATTTTACTTACATCCTGGCCATACAATTCCTTTATTTAACAATAGTAGGGAGTTTTATAATAAAATTGCTTGACTTAAAATGTACCATGACTACACTCCCAATAACACTTGCCCCATCCATGACTACACTACCAATAAGATGACAACACTACCAGTAACATCACAACACTCCCAATAACATGACAACACTCACAATAACACTTGCCCCATCCATGACAACACTACCAGTAACATCACAACACTCCCAATAACATGACAACACTCACAATAACACTTGCCCCATCCATGACAACACTCCCAATAAGATGACTACACTCCCAATAACATGACTACACTCCCAATAACATGACAACACTCACAATAACACTTGCCCCATCCATGACAACACTCCCAATAAGATGACTACACTCCCAATAACATGACAACACTCACAATAACACTTGCCCCATCCATGACAACACTCCCAATAAGATGACTACACTCCCAATAACATCACTACACTACCTATAAGATGACCTCACTCCCAATAACACTCATCTATCACTACACTCCCACTTACTCTCTCCTTCAGCTAAAAAAGAAGAGTCACAAGCCACAGAGAAGAAGCCAGCCAAGAAGGGGAAAGAACTCAAGGTTTTAGATATGAAATCTGGCCAGAATCTATGTAATTTTTGTTTTTATGTTATTTATCTTCCTAGTCAACCTAGGAAAATTTAGAGAGTTCAACATTTTTTTACATGTAAAGTTTGAATAGTTCAGATGTAGTGGTTGTTAGTAAACTGACAAACTTGGTTGTTGGTATTGCAGCTATATTGTTGGCCTCTATAAAGATCCCCTACACTGAAATCAAACGGCGAATAGTGAGCATTGACGAGGCCAATCTGACGGCAGCCATGTTGGAACAGCTGATCAAATACATGCCCGAGCCTGAGGAGATGAAGAAGTTGTCAGAACTCAAGGAGGACTACAGTGAGTTGGCCGAACCTGAGCAGTTTGCTGTTACGGTCAGTGCATCAACCAACCATTAAAGTGTGTCTGTTATGGTCAGTGCATCAACCAATCATTAAAGTGTGTCTGTTACGGTCAGTGCATGAACCAACCATTAAAGTGTATCTGTTACGGTCAGTGCATCATCAACCAACCATTAAAGTGTGTCTGTTACGGTCAGTGCATCAACCAACCATTAAAGTGTGTCTGTTACGGTCAGTGCATCAACCAACCATTAAAGTGTGTCTGTTACGGTCAGTGCATCAACCAACCATTAAAGTGTGTCTGTTACGGTCAGTGCATGAACCAACCATTAAAGTGTGTCTGTTACGGTCAGTGCATGAACCAACCATTCAAGTGTGTCTGTTACGGTCAGTGCATGAACCAACCATTCAAGTGTGTCTGTTACGGTCAGTGCATGAACCAACCATTAAAGTGTGTCTGTTACGGTCAGTGCATGAACCAACCATTAAAGTGTGTCTGTTACGGTCAGTGCATCAACCAACCATATAAGTGTGTCTGTTACGGTCAGTGCATGAACCAACCATTAAAGTGTGTCTGTTACGGTCAGTGCATGAACCAACCATTCAAGTGTGTCTGTTACGGTCAGTGCATGAACCAACCATTCAAGTGTGTCTGTTACGGTCAGTGCATGAACCAACCATTAAAGTGTGTCTGTTACGGTCAGTGCATGAACCAACCATTAAAGTGTGTCTGTTACGGTCAGTGCATGAACCAACCATTAAAGTGTGTCTGTTACGGTCAGTGCATCAACCAACCATTAAAGTGTGTCTGTTACGGTCAGTGCATGAACCAACCATTAAAGTGTGTCTGTTACGGTCAGTGCATGAACCAACCATTAAAGTGTATGTGTGCAGGTGTCATTAAGTGTACAACCTGTCATGTTTGGCTGACATTTGTTGACTTGATGTTCCAGATGTCATCCATCAAACGACTCGTCCCACGTCTCAACGCCTTGTTGTTTAAGATGAGGTTTTCTGAGATTGTCTCCGACATTAAACCTGTGAGTACAATCTGGGTTTTACAAATTTGTCTTTAAAAATACTGCCAACACTAAATGTTAAGTTCTGATCCAATCAAACTGTTCTCTGGACCTAGTGTCTGCCCAATACTAAATGTTAAGTTCTGATCCAATCAAACTGGACCTGGTGCCTGCCCAATACTAAATGTTAAGTTCTGATCCAATCAAACTGTTCTCTGGACCTAGTGCCTGCCCAATACTAAATGTTGACTTGTGATCAACAATTCTCAGGACCTGGTGTCAGCCACAGAGGCTTGTGAAGAGATCAAGAACAGCCGCAGGTTTGCCAAACTTCTAGAGCTGCTCCTCTTGATGGGAAACTTCTTGAATTCTGGATCTCGCAATGCCCAGTCCATTGGATTTGACATCAGTTTCTTAACCAAGGTGGGTAGAGACATACTCATGTTATTGTTACAGTTGCTGTTGGCTGCTGATTCAGTCCTACAGCACCTACTTTAACATGGCTGTAGTACAGAGTGGCTAAATATTTTAACATCAAGTCTGTGTGGCTAAATATTTTAACATGAAGTCAGTCTGTGTGACTAAATATTTTAACATCAAGTCTGTGTGGCTAAATATTTTAACATGAAGTAAGTCTGTGTGACTAAATATTTTAACATGAAGTCTGTGTGACTAAATATTTTAACATGAAGTCAGTCTGTGTGACTAAATATTTTAACATCAAGTCTGTGTGGCTAAATATTTTAACATGAAGTCAGTCTGTGTGACTAAATATTTTAACATCAAGTCTGTGTGGCTAAATATTTTAACATGAAGTAAGTCTGTGTGACTAAATATTTTAACATGAAGTCTGTGTGACTAAATATTTTAACATGAAGTCAGTCTGTGTGACTAAATATTTTAACATCAAGTCTGTGTGGCTAAATATTTTAACATGAAGTAAGTCTGTGTGACTAAATATTTTAACATGAAGTCTGTGTGACTAAATATTTTAACATGAAGTCAGTCTGTGTGACTAAATATTTTAACATCAAGTCTGTGTGGCTAAATATTTTAACATGAAGTAAGTCTGTGTGACTAAATATTTTAACATGAAGTCTGTGTGACTAAATATTTTAACATGAAGTAAGTCTGTGTGACTAAATATTTTAACATGAAGTCTGTGTGACTAAATATTTAACATCAAGTCAGTCTGTGTGACTAAATATTTTAACATGAAGTCTGTGTGACTAAATATGTGAATGTTTTTCTTGTCAGTTGGAAGGGACCAAGAGCCAGGATAACTCCACAACAATGCTTCATTTCCTGGCACAAATCTTGGAAGAAAAACATCCGGATATCCTAGGGTTTATAGATGAAACAATACACATTGAGAAGGCAGCAAGGGGTAAGTGTCTACACTTATATCACTGGGACCATCAGATAACAATACACATTGAGAAGGCAGCAAGGGGTAAGTGGCTACACTTATATCACTGGGACCATCAGATAACAATACACATTGAGAAGGCAGCAAGGGGTAAGTGGCTACACTTATATCAATGGGTCCATCAGATATTTATACAACTGTACACAAGACATAGCTCTATGGCCAACCATTAGAAGAACAGCTCTAAGTCAGTGTGGAAGGCAGCAAGATAAAAATTAATATTAAAAGAAAATTCCAGCGAAGCTTTAGTGTAATATAGGCTAGCTGCATACCCGTGCTTCACTACGGTGAATCTTTTTTAAATGTTCAAACCTGGGAACAGAACAAACATTTATAATCTTAATAAAATATCATAATATTGAAATAAAAAAATTTGCGGCTCTTTAAAAACTAGGAAATTTTGTAAATTGCAACTTTTGGCTCTTCCGTCTCAAAAGGTTGCCGACCCCTGGTATATGCTGATGTAATTATTTCTATTTGAAAATAAAAGTATAAAATTTTTTTTTTTAAAGTTGTGTATAGCAATGATGGAAGGAAGGAGTGACACACTACCTGGGTGCTTATATTATAGATTAAACTTAATATTGTTGGTTGATAGGTTAAGTTTTAGTTTGTAATTTTGAACCAAAATCTTGTGTCCAATTTTTTTCTTTTAAAATGTTTAGTTTGTAATTAGTAACCAAAATGATCATGTCCATTGTTTGTCTCCAGTATCAGTTGAAACCCTCCAGAAAAACATCAACGGCATGGGCAAACAGATCAAAGATCTGGAGCTGGACCTGAAGAACATGGGCAAAACAAATGATCCTGATGACAGGTTTGGGGAAGTCATGAAAATATCCTTTGTTGCTTTCAGTGGAGGGTAGAGTGGTGAACTGTTTTTATTGCTCACATTTTGTTGAAGGCATTTAGTTGTAATAACATTTTGTTGCGCACATTTTGTTGAAGGCATTTAGTTTTAATAACATTTTGTTGAGCACATTTTGTTATCACATTTTGTTGAAGGCATTTAGTTTTAATAACATTTTATTGCGCACATTTTGTTGAAGGCATTTAGTTTTAATAACATTTTATTGCGCACATTTTGTTGAAGGCATTTAGTTTTAATAACATTTTGTTGAGCACATTTTGTTATCACATTTTGTTGAAGGCATTTAGTTGACCACATTGTGATGATAACATTGTGATGACCACAATTAGTTGAGCCCAATGTGTTGAGCCCATGTTGCCACCCCATGTATTGACCCCATGTTGCCACCCCATGTAGCCAGCCCACTGACCAATGAGTTCCTTAACTGTGTCCAAGAGTTCCTGAAAGAGGCCCAGCAGCAACATGAGCTTCTGAGCACCATGTTTAAAAAGTTGGAAACTTTGTTTGAGTCCACAGCCAAGTACTTTGCCTTTGATGCCAAAAAATACACAATGGAGGAGTTCTTCATTGACATGAAAACATTCAAGGAGTCTCTACAGGTGAGAGTGTTCTCCCCTGGTTGTAAGCTAGCTCTAGAATCATCCTCCACTTCTCTCCCCTGGTTATCAGCTAGCTCTAGAATCATCCTCCACTTCTCTCCCCTGGTTGTAAGCTAGCTCTAGAATCATCCTCCACTTCTCTCCCCTGGTTATCAGCTAGCTCTAGAATCATCCTCCACTTCTCTCCCCTGGTTATCAGCTAGCTCTAGAATCATCCTCCACTTCTCTCCCCTGGTTATCAGCTAGCTCTAGAATCATCCTCCACTTCTCTCCCCTGGTTGTAAGCTAGCTCTAGAATCATCCTCCACTTCTCTCCCCTGGTTGTAAGCTAGCTCTAGAATCATCCTCCACTTCTCTCCCCTGGTTGTAAGCTAGCTCTAGAATCATCCTCCACTTCTCTCCCCTGGTTGTAAGCTAGCTCTAGAATCATCCTCCACTTCTCTCCCCTGGTTGTAAGCTAGCTCTAGAATCATCCTCCACTTCTCTCCGCTGGTTGTAAGCTAGCTCTAGAATCATCCTCCACTTCTCTCCCCTGGTTATCAGCTAGCTCTAGAATCATCCTCCACTTCTCTCCCCTGGTTATCAGCTAGCTCTAGAATCATCCTCCACTTCTCTCCCCTGGTTATCAGCTAGCTCTAGAATCATCCTCCACTTCTCTCCCCTGGTTATCAGCTAGCTCTAGAATCATCCTCCACTTCTCTCCCCTGGTTGTAAGCTAGCTCTAGAATCATCCTCCACTTCTCTCCCCTGGTTATCAGCTAGCTCTAGAATCATCCTCCACTTCTCTCCCCTGGTTATCAGCTAGCTCTAGAATCATCCTCCACTTCTCTCCCCTGGTTGTAAGCTAGCTCTAGAATCATCCTCCACTTCTCTCCGCTGGTTGTAAGCTAGCTCTAGAATCATCCTCCACTTCTCTCCGCTGGTTGTAAGCTAGCTCTAGAATCATCCTCCACTTCTCTCGCCCTGTTGTTAGTACTAGTTTCTTTGATTGTAAACCTATTTATGTCTGTCCCTCTAGAAAGCAATAAAAGAAAACGCCAAAATCCGAGAGACCCAGGAGAAAATTCGGAGAGCCAAAGAAGCCAAGGAGAAGACAGAGAGGGAGAAGAAGGAGAAGAAATTGCGACAGGCAGCTATACTAGACATGACTACAGGTGGGAGGGAGGCTTCAGAACATTATTTTTTTACATTAATTTTTTCTTATTGTCTTTTATTTGTTGGGTAAAGTTTTTAATCCTATAAAATTGTTTGGTGGGTAAAGTTTTTAATCTTATAAAATTGTTTGTTCGGTAATGTTTTTAATCCTATAAAATTGTGTGTTGGGTAAAGTGTAAAAATTGTATTTCAGATGACAACCAAGAAGGTGTAATGGACAACTTGTTAGAGGCCTTGAAGACTGGCCAGGCTTTTAATGTCAAGAGAGAAGGAAAGAGACGCACCCCAAGGGCAGCAGGAGGTCTGTACATGTTCTACCCTAGCCATTTTTATTCTCTGGTTGATACATTTACAACAGTCATGTTAACATCCACTTAATATCACCTCTACACTAGTCATTTTTCAGTTGATGCCAAGATAAAATTCTGCCACCTTGAACCCACTTCAAAACATGTTTGTTAACGTCCTATTTTTTTTTTAAAATGTTGATACATTTCCAGTCAAATTTTAATGTAGCAGGCATCTCCTTTTTGTCCTTGTGAACCATTTTGCTTCTTATGGACTGTTTTTTTCAGTCATAATTAAGTTTTGATGATTTAAAAACTGATGTGTACCTGAAGCAAAATTGAATGCACTGTATTGAATTGTGTAACCAGATGTTTTCCTTCACTAGACTTGTGCAACATAAAACTGTTATCTCCACCAGTCAGTGGACACTGACAGGTATCTACTGACCTTTTACTTGCCAGCTTCATCTTTCCTGCACTTTTTTCTCTGAGTTTGGTCTTTATAAAGCTGACACGCAGCAGATATTGACCATGACTGCATGTACAGTCTCTATACCCTGGCTCATCTGTTCACTGCTATCTTTTCCTCACATGCAGATAGGTTCTCTAACCTGAGTCGCTCGCGAGTGTGGAAGACGAATGTGGTGGACCCTGAGGTGAAGCTGTGACCTGTGTTGTAAAGCTTGTCTTGTACTCTAGCATGGTGCACCTTGTTGTATGCTGTGCCTGATTTTTTTGGTTTGCTCACTGTGTGTTGGATGTGTATTTGGTTAGCTTCATTGGCCTGTCTGCAGTTTTCTTATTTCAGCTTTGTATTTACTCTTTAGTATCTAAGTCTGGTGAGTCCAACTTGAATAGAATGTATCCCATCACTTGATGTCATCAAATTGTAAACTAGGACAGCTACACTTCTGTATCATCACATTAGATTTTGTCTTAGTCCAGCTCCTTAGTTTTACTTGCCCTAGTATAAAAAGGAAATGGACAAAAAATGTTTAATACTTGAACCTTGAATGATTTTTTGATGTTGTTTTTTGTATTGCCCCACCATGCATCAGCCCCAGGAAGTGCTGGTAAAGAAAATTGTTTGCTTGAATATGTATCTGGCTTTATCCTAGCAATGACATGTAGCCTTCAACAACACATGATTTATTATCCTAGATCAGTGGTTCTTAACCTGGGTTCAATCAAACCCCAGGGGTTTGTGATTCAGTCTCAGGGGTTTGGTGGGGGTCAGGACACACACTTGACTTGTGATCAGATTTTGTCATTTGTGGAAGATAGAACTAGCTGCCGATGACATTTCAAATATGACAGAAAGTTATAATAACATGTTGCCGAGGCTAAATAGCACGTATAGGTATCGTTTTATTTGTATCGCCTGGATCCCTTGACTTCATGACACGAATCACGAATTGTGTCAATGCTACCTATACAGCTATGTGTTAATCCTGTACTTACCTGCTATGATGAGCATACTTTTTATTTGTATATTGTGGCCCAGTAGTCAACGTGTGACTGTTGTGAAGGTACCTCATGTGATCACTTTCTTAATATTTTTTGATCCCTTCATACTAAATATGTCAGGCAAAAAAAGAAAGTGATTGGATTCATATGAAGTTGGTGGAGTTCTGTATGTCAAAAAAGGTTAAGAACCACTGTCTTAAATACTACATATAGTCTTAAATAACTTATTATTCAAGGTATCAATATTAGAACTCTTGTATCATTACACTTAATAACCCTAGATCTATTGGCTGGAACTACTTACATGTTTATGTATCCTTGCACCTGTTATATACCGTTGGTTATATTCCAGTATGGTTAACAAAATAAATTGCATGTTCTGTCTTTCTGGTTCAACTTGTGCCATGTTGTCTTTCTGTCTAAAGTGTGCCTGTTTTGTTAACAAAATAAATCTCATGTTGTCTTTCTGTCTAAACGTGTGCCTGTTTTGTTAACAAAATAAATCTCATGTTCTCTTTCTGTCTAAATGTGTGCCTGATTTGTCAACAAAATAAATCTCATGTTGTCTTTCTGTTTAAAGTGTGCCTGTTTTGTTAACAAATTAAATCTCATGTTGTCTTTCTGTTTAAATTGTGCCTGTTTTGTTAACAAAATAAATCTCATATTGTCTGTCTGTCTAAATCTGTGCCTGTTTTGTTAACAAAATAAATCTCTTGTTGTCTTTCTGTCTAAATGTGTGCCTGTTTTGTTAACAAAATAAATCTCTTGTTGTCTTTCTGTCTAAATGTGTGCCTGTTTTGTTAACAAAATAAATCTCATGTTGTCTTTCTGTCTAAATGTGTGCCTGTTTTGTTAACAAAATAAATCTCATGTTGTCTTTCTGTCTAAATCTGTGCCTGTTTTGTTAACAAAATAAATCTCATGTTGTCTTTCTGTCTAAATGTGTGCCTGTTTTGTTAACAAAATAAATCTCTTGTTGTCTTTCTGTCTAAATGTGTGCCTGTTTTGTTAACAAAATAAATCTCTTGTTGTCTTTCTGTCTAAATGTGTGCCTGTTTTGTTAACAAAATAAATCTCTTGTTGTCTTTCTGTCTAAATGTGTGCCTGTTTTGTTAACAAAATAAATCTCATGTTGTCTTTCTGTCTAAATGTGTGCCTGTTTTGTTAACAAAATAAATCTCATGTTGTCTTTCTGTCAAAATGTGTGCCTGTTTTGTTAACAAAATAAATCTCATGTTGTCTTTCTGTCTAAATCTGTGCCTGTTTTGTTAACAAAATAAATCTCATGTTGTCTTTCTGTCTAAATCTGTGCCTGTTTTGTTAACAAAATAAATCTCATGTTGTCTTTCTGTCTAAATGTGTGCCTGTTTTGTTAACAAAATAAATCTCATGTTGTCTTTCTGTCTAAATGTGTGCCTGTTTTGTTAACAAAATAAATCTCATGTTGTCTTTCTGTCTAAATGTGTGCCTGTTTTGTTAACAAAATAAATCTCATGTTGTCTTTCTGTCTAAATCTGTGCCTGTTTTGTTAACAAAATAAATCTCTTGTTGTCTTTCTGTCTAAATGTGTGCCTGTTTTGTTAACAAAATAAATCTCTTGTTGTCTTTCTGTCTAAATGTGTGCCTGTTTTGTTAACAAAATAAATCTCATGTTGTCTTTCTGTCTAAATGTGTGCCTGTTTTGTTAACAAAATAAATCTCATGTTGTCTTTCTGTCTAAATCTGTGCCTGTTTTGTTAACAAAATAAATCTCATGTTGTCTTTCTGTCTAAATGTGTGCCTGTTTTGTTAACAAAATAAATCTCTTGTTGTCTTTCTGTCTAAATGTGTGCCTGTTTTGTTAACAAAATAAATCTCTTGTTGTCTTTCTGTCTAAATGTGTGCCTGTTTTGTTAACAAAATAAATCTCTTGTTGTCTTTCTGTCTAAATGTGTGCCTGTTTTGTTAACAAAATAAATCTCATGTTGTCTTTCTGTCAAAATGTGTGCCTGTTTTGTTAACAAAATAAATCTCATGTTGTCTTTCTGTCAAAATGTGTGCCTGTTTTGTTAACAAAATAAATCTCATGTTGTCTTTCTGTCTAAATGTGTGCCTGTTTTGTTAACAAAATAAATCTCATGTTGTCTTTCTGTCTAAATGTGTGCAGCAGCAGGAGGCACAGGCAGGTCCATAAGAGCAGATTTTGATTAAAATGTAACTCAAGTTTTCACCCACTTGTCTCCAATTGTCCTGGCAATGGGGAACTTTCACTCTGGTTTACTTGCTTGTACCCTCTGTACTACAGGTGTGGCTGGTTACCTGTGGTAGACTGGGGTGGCTGGACACTAGCCTATGTCTTGAGTGGACCCTAGTTACCTGGGGTGGCTGGACACTAGCCTATGTCTTGAGTGGACCCTAGTTACCTGGGGAGGCTGGACACTAGCCTATGTCTTGAGTGGACCCTAGCTCCATTTGACCCTCCCCCACAGTCTCAGTTGACCCCTGGCTCAGTCTGTGATGCCTAGATATTGCTAGACAGCAACATCAACTGGGACCCTGCAGGAGAGCCATGTGAACTTGAGGCTTGCTAGCCTCAAGTTGTAGGCCAGTGTGTAGCCTCTAGGTGTAGGCTTGTGTGTAGCCTCTAATTCCTTTAAAATATCATCAGCCTATTTTTATTTCTGCTCAGTTGTTATCACATTTTTTTCAATTCTCTCTCTCTCTTTTTCTCCTTTTTGAATTTTTATAAAAATATACTTTTATTTTATTTCAATTTTTTAAAAAGGAAACCATTGAAAAAATGGTGTTAACCAAATGTGTAGATGTGCACATGAAATTAGTAACAGCATGTTTGCCAGTTATGTTACAGAAATGTTTGACACACAACTAGAACTTAAAGTATTGCTTAGTTATAAACTAACCTCCTGGATATATTCTCTTAATTACTAAACCTAAAAATAATTACCCCATGCCTAATTAAATGTCCTGGAAGTAATTAACTCCAAGGCTAATTAAATTTCCTTAACATAATTACCACCTAGTCTATCCCTTCAGTATGTGGGTGGTGTATTTCTTTTTTTTTTATTAAATTCAATAAATACACAGTTATTTATTTGTTTAAGGTCTAAAGGTGTATTAGTTTACTATCAAATAATGGAAACTTAGATTATTGGATGGCCTGACACCACCATAAGCAAAGTTTTTCAGTTTCTTTTTAAGTGGCCATTTGCCATAGCTTATTATATACATCAATGTTGGCAGTGATGAAGTTTTTTTAGTTACACTGTTAACTGCTTGTACAATAGTACACCTCAAATGAAGGTGCTATGAATACCAACTAATAATATATATATATAGTAAGGCATGCGGATAAGTCATGTACTATTTTAGTTATTTAATTTTTATTTTTCACCCTATAATTTATCTGATTTGATTTTTTTGGTGTGCCATGGTTTTGTGATGCTGTTTTTCTTTACTGACTCTAGGTGTATAAGGTTTATTTCCTGACTATGACACATCACATTAGAAACAATTTCTGATTGCACCAGTGTCAATTTTAAATGATAATTTACATTTAATGGTAAAAAATTAAATGTTTATCACTTCTTTAACTTGTAAGACATAGGGTTAGTTTTTCTATTGCTTGATAGTAACTAACTAGAAAGATAATTTTTTTGTTCTTAATAAAGTTCCCCTTTAGACCAACTGATCCATGAAGGTAAAATACCTTTATATTGTTCTTAAACCACACATAAATATAAAATCTTAAAGCAGTCTTTTTCTTCCGTTTAGTGACTTGTTCTGTCTTGATTGTTGATGGTGGTTGTCCAATGTATTAGCTATTTTGTCCTGATGTATGTGTTGATGTTGTATGTTCCTATGTTGATGTTGTATTTCCTGATGTTGATGTGTTGTTCTTTGTCCTGATGTATTGTTGTATGTCATGATGTATTGTTGTATGTCCTGCTGTACTGTTGTATGTCTTGTTGTATGTCCTGTTGTATTGTTGTATGTCCTGATGTATTGTTGTATGTCCTTATGTATTGTTGTATGTCCTGATGTGTTGCTGTATGTCCTGATGTATTGTTGTATGCCCTGTTGTATTGTTGTATGTCCTGATGTGTTGTTGTATGTCCTTATGTATTGTTGCATATCCTGATGTTTTGTTGTATGTCATGATGTATTGTTGTATGTCCTGATGTACTGTTGTATTGTTGTATGTCCTGATGTATTGTTGTATGTCCTGATGTATTGCTGTATGTCCTGATGTATTGTTGAATGTCTTGATGTATTATTGTATGTCCTGATGTATGTCCTGATGTATGTCCTGATGTATTGTTGAATGTCCTGATGTATTGTTGTATGTCCTGATGTATTGTTGAATGTCCTGATGTATTGTTGTATGTACTGTTGTATTGTTGTATGTCCTGATGTATTGTTGTATGTCCTGATGTATTGCTGTATGTCCTGATGTATTGTTGAATGTCTTGATGTATTATTGTATGTCCTGATGTATGTCCTGATGTATTGTTGAATGTCCTGATGTATTGTTGTATGTCCTGATGTATTGTTGTATGTCCTGATGTATTGTTGTATGTCCTGATGTATTGTTGTATGTCCTGATGTATTGTTGTATGTCCTGATGTATTGTTGTATGTCCTGATGTATTGTTGTATGTCCTGATGTATTGCTGTATGTCCTGATGTATTGTTGAATGTCTTGATGTATTATTGTATGTCCTGATGTATGTCCTGATGTATTGTTGAATGTCCTGATGTATTGTTGTATGTCCTGATGTATTGTTGTATGTCCTGATGTATTGTTGTATGTCCTGATGTATTGTTGTATGCCCTGATGTACTGTTGTATGTCTTGATGTGTTGTTGTATGCCCTGATGTGTTGTTGTATGTCCTGATGTATAGTTGTATGTCCTGATGTATTGTTGTATGTCCTGATGTATTGTTGTATGTCCTGATGTATTGTTGTATGTGCTGATGTATTGTTGTATGTGCTGATGTATTGTTGTATGTGTCCCCAGCTGAACGGAGGGCTCAGCTAGCCAGGACCAGGTCCAGACAAAATATTTACGACGGGTCAGTGGTGCGAGAGATTGACTTTGATGACTCCAAGCTCAACTCAACACAGGAGAAGAACAGGAACAGGAAACAGTCCTCCCAAGATGAAGAGTCAGCAGCAGAACAGTTACTGGAGAGGTTAAAAGCTTTGTGATTGGATAATCAGCTGGGATTCCAGCCAATCACAGCAGTGTTTAGTTAGATGACTGTATGTAAGTGAGTGTAAAAACTGATGAAGCAGTGTTGGCATGTACTGTGGAGTGTAAAGATGTTTTATGGTGTATCAACTCAACACAGGCTCTCTTATGTCCCATCCCCCACTGTATGTGTCAAGTAGAGCAGGACTCAAATATTTATTCCTACACAATTCTTAGCTTGTTGCGCCGGAACTCAGTCAATAGTGCCATCTTTCTATTTATAGATAGTTGCTGTCTGAGTTACATGTTTCGTACAAAAATGCTTTTTACATATATCTCGTTGGCCTAATATGGTTTATAAAGCTTCATATATTATAACATTTAAGAAAATTTTATATAAATGAATACTCAAATATTTAAATTTTAAAATAAGTCATAGCACATTTGTTGGTAAACTGATATGTTGTGATCCTAATGTATGAGAGATTCCTGTGTGAATCAAATGTTCAGGTGAGCAAACATTGTAAGCCTGATGTAGGGAAACTTGTAGGGTGAATTGTTGGTTGAGTTCATCTCTCACAACTTTTGTAGGGAAACTTGTCGGACTTGATCTTGCACAAATGGCCTGCTGTGTGTCTGATGCAGGCAGTAGTGTGGCACAACTGCCCTCTGATGGTAGTGTTAACTTTCTGATGACTCTAGTGACTGACACTTTGACGTGTTAACTTTCTGATAACTTTAGTGACACTTTGGCATGTCAACATTCTGATAACTCTGGTGACTGACACTATGGTGTGTTAACTTTCTGATGACTGTAGCAGCCTGTCTTAGCATCATCAAGTTGTCTGACAAAATTACTCACTGATGTTTGCTCTCAATGATCTTGATGTGTGACCTGATCCTCAAGGTGTCGACCCTGACCTTGGGGTGTCAGCTGATGACCTTGAGGTGGCATTTAATGCCCTGCTCATCTTCTCCCAATGAGAAAGCATGTGCCAATATATTTTGATATACCTGCCACCCTGTACCTATTGCTACCAAACCAAATGTATCACCCATCTAAAGTGGAGCTCGCCTAGTTAAGTCCCCTGAGCTCTTTGCCTTGATAGCTTCCCCTGTATTGTTCATGTCATGTTTTTGTCCTCATGTTGATGCATCTTGCCCAGCAAGAGCTGGGTGGTCAAGCCATACTGTAGCTTGTCTGTTGGTCAAGCCATACTGTAGCTTCTCCAGCCAGAGCTAGGTGGTCAAGTCATACTGTAGCTTATCTGGTGGTCAAGCCATACTGTAGCTTATCTGGTGGTCAAGCCATACTGTAGCTTGTCCGGTGGTCAAGCCATACTGTAGCTTGTCTGGTGGTCAAGCCATACTGTAGCTTATCTGGTGGTCAAGCCATACTGTAGCTTGTCTGGTGGTCAAGCCATACTGTAGCTTATCTGGTGGTCAAGCCATACTGTAGCTTGTCTGGTGGTCAAGTCATACTGTAGCTTATCTGGTGGTCAAGTCATACTGTAGCTTATCTGGTGGTCAAGCCATACTGTAGCTTATCTGGTGGTCAAGCCATACTGTAGCTTGTCTGGTGGTCAAGCCATACTGTAGCTTGTCTGGTGGTCAAGCCATACTGTAGCTTATCTGGTGGTCAAGCCATACTGTAGCTTATCTGGTGGTCAAGCCATACTGTAGCTTATCTGGTGGTCAAGCCATACTGTAGCTTGTCTGGTGGTCAAGCCATACTGTAGCTTATCTGGTGGTCAAGTCATACTGTAGCTTGTCTGGTGGTCAAGTCATACTGTAGCTTGTCTGGTGGTCAAGCCATTTTTCCATGTACATATTTACTCTCAGAATGTAAACCAGTGTTTTTTTCCTCTCAGTTTTGCCCTGTTGGATTGTTTATGTAAATACATTTAGTTTGTGCATATTTTCATTCTATGTTGATCTGTAGTTGTATTCATGCAAGTAATGCATGCTGGGAAAAATTGGTATGAATGGGGGGGGGGGGGGGGCAATCATTTCTCTCATCCTCATCATCAGTCCTCACACATGTATACACTGACAAATGGCTGGGACATCAATGTAAGGAAACACTTGTGTAGCAATAATGTCAAGATCTTTGAATGAGATATGTTTGTGTATACTTTACTTCCTAAAATTAGACAGTCTGGATCTACTTGCCTGGGTCCAGTTGATTGGGGTCGTTAATCATTTAGAGAAAAATTTCCTTGCAAGTAGAATTTCTTGTAACTAAGTAAATGTCGCCACAAAACAATCTTACTAAATGGAAAACTTTGGAGGGGTTCAACAATTTATTTAAGTGGCCATCTGATTCAACACTAGCTCATCGGCCATCTAAATAACCAGTAGGTTAGTGGCCATCTGAATGACTAGCAAGTCAATGGCCATCAGACTGACATTAGGGCCAGTAGCTCTAGAAACTTGTAAGTGAAATGATTTTTTAAATGACTAAAAAAAGTGTAACACCAACAACATTAATATACAAAAATGGTCTCTTGTTTCTATTTAAAATGAATGATTCTCTACACTTTGACCCCTCTGATCTACATAAATTGTGTGCCATTTTTACTTTTTATATTCATTTTTTTAATGTGTATCTAGTTAATTTTAAACATACCAATACTAAAAAGATTTTATATCACAGAGATGGAAGTAATTTTTGTCCCCTGAGTAGTCAAAACAATTTTCTGAGGGAGAGTTGTGAAACCATTTTTATTTTTTTACTTCAAAACTTTTTTTTAGATGTCTTGCTTTGTTAGAATTAGTTCCCTCAAGTAGAATAAAGAATGTGAAATGGTGATGACTGCCATACACATTGAGTAGGTCCTTTACACACTTGTAGAAAATACCAAGCGTGGAAAGTTTAGTGTTGACTTCACTTAGTTTGGTTTTAATAAAATAAAGTTCTACAACTCAGTGAACAAGAGTAACCTCTGGCAGCAGTAAACAATTCGTTGCTGATACATTATTTAATAGCCATAGCAAAAATAAAATAATCATGTAATGAACCTAACAAATGTTTACAAACATGAAAAAAGGGAAATCACCCCTGGTTGTACCTGTAGAGATCTCCTTCTCCCACAGCTGTAGAGTTATTCTCTTGTCAGCCCTAGAAAGTTTAAGTTGACTTGATTGAATGTAGTTCTTCCTTACCCACTTTTTTTCTCTGTACTGGACCAAGAATGTATATCCACATATTAGTCTCTGGCTACCTCTGTATGTGTGGGAGGGGTGTCAAAAGCCCCTCCCCCCTGGGGTGGGGGTCAACCTCCCTGGACAGGGTCTACTTTATCTATTGAGGATTGCTGTCTTTCATTCCATTCTGCTCTTTGATTCTATAATGTACGAATATTATACTTGACTTTCATGTAATAAACATAATATGTTAATACAACATATTTGAAACTTGTGTTTCCTGTGTGATTTGTTATTCCTATCAGTTTGTGCAATTGAATGTATTGTTCCTGTTAACAATGTGATTTTTGTTTTGTTCCTTGTGCTAACACAATGTTCTGTTGTGAGTCACCCAAGCAGTCATTGCTTTACGAAATCTGGACTCAGGATTTGAAGTATATCTGTAAGTAGAGCCTACACATGCACACATTTGATGGACGCCTTGCAACTAACCCAATTGTTATTGTTGCTTTTAAAAGAAATTTGTCAGCTACAAGGGGGTGGGGGGACTACTAACTAAAATGAAATGTAAACCAGCCAACATTATATCACGGAGATCATCTTGTAACTGGCCACACTATATCAGGCAGATCCCCTTGTAACTGGCCACACTATATCAGTGAGATCCCCTTGTAACTGGCCACACTATATCAGGGAGATCATCTTGTAACTGGCCACACTATATCAGGGAGATCACCTTGTAACTGGCCACACTATATGAGGGAGATCATCTTGTAACTGGCCACACTATATCAGGGAGATCCCCTTGTAACTGGCCACACTATATCAGGGAGATCCCCTTGTAAGTGGCCACACTATATGAGGGAGATCATCTTGTAACTGGCCACACTATATCAGGGAGATCCCCTTGTAACTGGCCACACTATATCAGGGAGATCCCCTTGTAACTGGCCACACTATATCAGGGAGATCCCCTTGTAACTGGCCACACTATATCAGGGAGATCATCTTGTAACTGGCCACACTATATCAGTGAGATCATCTTGTAACTGGCCACACTATATCAGGGAGATCCCCTTGTAACTGGCCACACTATATCAGGGAGATCATCTTGTAACTGGCCACACTATATCAGGGAGATCACCTTGTAACTGGCCACACTATATGAGGGAGATCATCTTGTAACTGGCCACACTATATCAGGGAAATCCCCTTGTAACTGGCCACACTATATCAGGGAGATCCCCTTGTAAGTGGCCACACTATATGAGGGAGATCATCTTGTAACTGGCCACACTATATCAGGGAGATCCCCTTGTAACTGGCCACACTATATCAGGGAGATCCCCTTGTAACTGGCCACACTATATGAGGGAGATCATCTTGTAACTGGCCACACTATATGAGGGAGATCATCTTGTAACTGGCCACACTATATGAGGGAGATCATCTTGTAACTGGCCACACCTTATCAGGGAGATCCCCATGTAACTGGCCACACTATATCAGGGAGATCCCCTTGTAACTGGCCACACTATATCAGGGAGATCCCCTTGTCAGCTACAAGGGGGTGGGGGGACTACTAACTAAAATGAAATGTAAACAAGCCAACATTATATCACGGAGATCCCCTTGTAACTGGCCACACTATATCAGGTAGATCCCCTTGTAACTGGCCACGCTATATCAGGGAGATCCCCATGTAACTGGCCACACTATATCAGGGAGATCATCTTGTAACTAGCCACACTATATCAGGGAGATCATCTTGTAACTAGCCACACTATATCAGGGAGATCCCCTTGTTAACAACACGCCATTATACCTGGAACAGCAAAGGGGCCATACATGAAACTGAAACCACTGGCTGATGTCAATCCGAAGAACAGACTAGCTAGTCGCCGCTAAGATTATGGAGCTAACCCACCATTGCTTACTGTGTTGTCTGATTTGTGTTGTCATTCAGGTTGTTTTAAAACTGAATGTTCGAATGACACCAGAAACGCATGGCATTATATTTGTGATTACATTTGGCCTGTCTTATTTGGGAATCGAGTGTGTTTGTAGGGTAAGTAAGAAGGACAATGCCGTGTACAATCGTGAATGTTTTCTGTGTGAATCGCTTGCTGTGTCCTAAGGCAGGACTATAAGGCTGAGGTTTAGGACAAAGCAGGACTGGGGTTAGGGTTCGGAAAAATCCAGTTTCATAATCGGTTTGAGCTTAGGGTAGGACTCTGAGGGTAGGAGGGAAAAAAGAAATAGACTCGATTCGATATCTAACCATTGAAGCGTATCAGCTTTTGTAACATAGCCTTTCCATATTGCCGGGGAACACAGACATAGTTACAGCAACTTACAACGCCAACATTTCATAAAAATAAAACCACCGTGACCTTTTTACGTTTTTCAAATCATTATGGAACATATGTTTGTATTATATAAGCCTATACTATACACGGAATAAAATTAACCCCATTGCCTATCCCTTTGCTGAGCGATACCTATTTTTATGACAGACAGTTGAACGTCAACAAAACAAACGATAGACTTGTTTAAACCAAACAACCAATCACTGATCAGTATGCACAGTTTGCTGCATGCCGCACTCTTCTAAAGGTGTAACTTGTGTGTACAAGAATGTAAGGCTTGGCCTGCTAGCGTATATTTCCTCGGGCAACTGTCAACATCTGCTGTGACTTGAGTACTTTAAGCAACAGCAGACAAACCACATGCACTATTTTCACTTTGAACTACTTTTGTATTCTCTGACCAGTACCCAAAGCATGCTTGGATAATTTAATTTTAATCGTTCGATCTTGAAACTCCCTCAATTCGATTTAAAGATTTTCTCTCGTGAACCCCTTGACATCCAGGGCTACAAAAGTTTTTTTAAAATTAAACTAATTTGACAATTGCTACTGTGTAAAATGTCCATACTGTAAAGGTTTTTTCCTTTTAACTTAAATGAATTCGTGTAAACTAAAAAAAATTGTTTTTGACAGACGATGTTTGGTACTTTGCCCACGTTTTGACATCAGATCAAAGCTGTACATATGCAGTTCTCGCCCTTTATTGGAGTATCATTGTTGTGGGTGACGTTCAAGTCAAATATCAAAGGATTTGTATATTAAAATTTTATTTTGAAATATCCTGAGTTTTCTCCCTTACTACACAGTTTAATGTAGACGTAGAGTAATAATTAATATAGAGCTTAAAATCGGCCTCAACTCCAATTAAAGATGTTTCTACTAGAAGTTCAAGAAAAAGTTGAAAACTTAGGTTTTAACACCATAAGGATAGTCGACAACTTGACAATGATCAACACTACCAATGGTGATTTAAACAGCTCAACAAAATGTGAACACCAATACACAATTTTAAAGTGATTTATTTATGACATACAGAACAAAGAATCAATCTCCCATGTAAATTTTCCTTTATTAAGTTTAAAAATCTGATCAACAAAAACAATGAATGTCTGTAGGCATGGATCATCTCCTCTTGTACACACAAGGCTTCAGTGTTATGGGACCAACGGACGCAGACTTCTTCACGGTTTTAACTTTCTTAAAGTCAATCATGTAGAACATTTGGTTCAAGTCACGCTGTGGGGGCAGAAATTCATTTCAATCTGAGCTTTTAAATTTTAATACAGCTAAATTAATAAACTGAGGTTTACAGACAACTAAATAAATTAAGTGAAGTTTTCTTACAAATAAATTAATAAATTAAGTGATGTTCACACACAACTGAATTAACAATCACGCAATCTCTAACAGCAAATAAATAAATAAAAATAAATAAATAAAAATAATTATACTAAGCCAACACATATTTTTGAAATACATTAAAATAGTTATACTAAGGCAACACATATTTTTCCCTTATTGAGTAGGTTGGACTGTGGAGGTTTATAGAAAACCCAAATTGGGAACCAAACTCATAGATTCAGGTATGCAGTAATTTACTCAGTAATTTACCATAGAGCAGCACACATAAAGTAAATTAAGTTTATTCCAAACCCTTACCTGTACCTTTCAAGCTTATGTAATAATGAAGTGTAAGTATCTTGTTCAGCTTATGTAATAATGAAGCGTAAGTATCTTGTTCAGCTTATGTAATAATGAAGTGTAAGTATCTTGTTCAGCTTATGTAATAATGAAGTGTAAGTATCTTGTTCAGCTTATGTAATAATGAAGTGTAAGTATCTTGTTCAGCTTATGTAATAATGAAGTGTAAGTACCTTGTTCAGCTTATGTAATAATGAAGTGTAAGTATCTTGTTCAGCTTATGTAATAATGAAGTGTAAGTATCTTGTTCAGCTTATGTAATAATGAAGTGTAAGTATCTTGTTCAGCTTATGTAATAATGAAGTGTAAGTACCTTGTTCAGCTTATGTAATAATGAAGTGTAAGTATCTTGTTCAGCTTATGTAATAATGAAGTGTAAGTACCTTGTTCAGCTTATGTAATAATGAAGTGTAAGTATCTTGTTCAGCTTATGTAATAATGAAGTGTAAGTACCTTGTTCAGCATATGTAATAATGAAGTGTAAGTATCTTGGTCAGCTTATGTAATAATGAAGTGTAAGTACCTTGTTCAGCTTATGTAATAATGAAGTGTAAGTACCTTGTTCAGCATATGTAATAATGAAGTGTAAGTACCTTGTTCAGCAGCAAAAATCCATGTTTACTAACACTGCCAATGAACTGGCTAACACCACTAAACCTGCTAACAACTTCTGCAATTTTCAGGATACCTCTGGAATAAAACAATAGCAATTTTTTAAAATCTTATGTACTGCCAGACTCCACACACAAATCTTATGTACTGCTAGACTCCACACACAAATCTTATGTACTGCTAGACTCCACACACAAATCTTATGTACTGCTAGACTCCACACACAAATCTTATGTACTGCTAGACTCCACACACAAATCTTATGTACTGCTAGACTCCACACACAAATCTTATGTACTGCTAGACTCCACACACAAATCTTATGTACTGCTAGACTCCACACACAAATCTTATGTACTGCTAGACTCCACACACAAATCTTATGTACTGCTAGACTCCACACACAAATCTTATGTACTGCTAGACTCCACACACAAATATCAGGAGGAAACAATCAAAGGCAGACAAATGCTGTTCAATTTGTACATGGGACAGTACCCTGTTTTTAAAACTCGATTAGCTTCGTGTATGTAGTCACTGATATTGGTGCCCATCAGAGATAAACAGAAAATAGCAATGTCAACACTCTCATTAGGTAGTGGAGTCTGAAATGTAAATAAATAATGAGAAATTTTAAACACAAAAAATATATTAGCAATCACTAGTAATCACTTAAATGAAATAATAAATATATTTGTAAAATTAAAGGGTTTTTTTGCGTTTGATTGTATGAAATTATAAAAATCTCTAAGCCAGACTTATCAATTTTTTTAGTCTTTGATCAAATGTTTTACCTTGGACATTTCACATGCTGTAACTCTGTCATTGACAGCAACCAGATCAAAGGAATGGACTTTGTGAGGTATGCTCTGAGCTATTTTAGCATCACCACAACCAAAGTCTGCTATGACTAGATTAGCAGGCCTGAAGAAAATACAAAATGGTTTTAATAAACAGATCTAGTTTGATTATTGCTCAACTTTAACACTGTATTCAAACCATTCAGTGATGAGTATTGGTGAATCAATTACAGCGGTAGAGTTAGGCTAGGATATACTAATTTCTATTATCTTACCATGGATGACCAACGTACCCTACAACCACAATACCATCACAACATCCAACGACCACTGCAATAATTTCTACCACTATACCATGAGTACAACAACCCACTACCACAACATCCATCCAAGCACCAAACCACCACAACAACAACCCAGTACCACACAACATCCAACCACCACTTCAACAACAACTTCTACCACCACATCATTCATCACCCAGCAGCGAGTCTGTACTTACTTGTCTTTAATCTGCTTAATGATGACAGAGACAGGGTTCACTGGCCATTTGCTCACCTGGTTTTCATAGCCTTCATGGTACACACTGAAGGCATCTCTGTCTGCCTTAAACATGGTAAGGGCATCTCTGCCAGTGCAGGAGTACAGCTGCTCGTTGATGTAACGGAACCGCGCAGACTTGAGTTTTTCCCTAGCCTGGTTACCCAGCTCTGCTGCCTTACCCCACATGGAAGCAGGTTGTGCTGGTGTGCCTGGCTTTATTGTAGGTTGTTGTACCAGCGCAACTGGCTTGACATCTAATTTATTACTGTCCTCACTCGTCATTCCTATATTTAAACTTGATTTCAATGTTTTTTTTATTTCTTTCTTAGAAGTGAACTCAGGTTTTTCTATTTTATTTTTTTCCAATGAATTTTTCAACATTTTAGCCAGAATTTCTTGTTTTTTCTTCAACTTTGATGAGACAGTGTTTTTTTGTGGCGTGGTTTTTTCTTTGTCCTCAGCACTCACGTCTTTTAACTTGATTTTATTTATAGACGTTAATTTATTCTTCTTAGCTGCTAATTGATTATTTTTAGGTGTTAATTCATTATTATTCACGAATTTATTGGTCTTAGGGGCTAATTTACTATTTTTAGGTACTAGTTTATTATTCATAGCAACTGATTGACTAAAACTTTGACCAGAACCCTTACTTACATTGACTAGGTGGGCTAGGGTAGTTGAACCAGTCACCAGAGGCCCATCTTTGTTTTGTGTAACAGCTTTGTCTTCATGGCTGACAGAATTAGCTTTATTTGTTTTTAATTGTTTCTTCTTTTTCTTGGGTTCTGTTTTTACACTGTCTATAATGTTCAAATTGTTGCTGTAATTTGTGTTACTTTTTACTGAGCTGTCTTCTGAATTTACAACATTGTATGATAAGCTTTTATCTTGCTCGATAGCATTTTTCTTTTTATGCCTTTTATTTTGTTTGGATTTTGTTTTCGAACTGTTGCTATTTACAAATAATTCAGTTGAACCCTGCAAATTTGAATGAATCTCTGAAAAATTTTCTTCTTTTTTGGTAAAAAATTTGCTATTTTCAAGCGGTGCTGACAAAGTTTCCAATGGAGTTTTAGTTACAAGCTCACTGCCATCCTTACTGATAACAGCTAATGAAGGTTTGGATTTAGATTTTAAAGCTTCCTGCTTTTCTTTGTTTTTCTTGCTTGTATTTTTTTTCTTCCGATTTTTCTTCTTTTTCCCTTCTGTAACATTTTGTAGAGTTCCACTGGCATTAATACTTTGCGTGCTCTCACCATTGTGTAAGTTAGTTTTACCACCGCCTTTCTTTACCTCTCTCAAACTTTGATCTTGACTAAGCTTTGCTTTTTTTTTAGCATTGGCTGCAGCGCCTGAATCTTGGTCAAAAGACGAGGACCTTTTTCTTTTCTTCCCAGCTGTCTCAGTCATTTCACTTTCTACAGCAACCCCAACATTTTTTTTCTTCTTCTTACTTGTAGAATTTTTTTTATCATTATTCTGTTTGTCTAAACCATCCTGAGTGTTAGTTTTCTTCTTGGCTTTATCAGGAATTCTATTAGGATCTAAACTCTGTTTATCTTTCAGGCCAGATTTTTTCTGTTTTCTTCTCATCTCCTTTAGCCGTTTCCTTTCTTTTTTAGACAGTTGTTCATCATCACTGTCAGGGGCCTCCAGACTAACATTGATCTCTTTCCTGACGTTTTCTTTGGCATCTATCCCTTGCTTTTGTTTGTCCTGAGAAAATGTAAGAAAAGATAATAAGTACAAGTTTTGTTACACATTAAATACATTTTTAAAGTGATAACAAAAAGTGCATTTAGTATGTTTAATCATACAGAAATGTTAATCCAGTAAGATTTTAAGTAAAACATAAATATTAGCCACACTAAGTGTAGGTGAACCATAAATCATACATTTAGTTTAGGTGAAACATTGATCATACAACATTTAGTTTAGTTTAGAATATAGGTGAAACATAAATCATACAACATTTAGAATTTAGGTGAAACATAAAATTAAATTCCCTACCCTTGATGTACCAAACAATGAGGAAGTTAACAAGTCTGATGCTTTGTCCACATCCCACTGGTCAGTGAAGTCAAAATCAAACATTTCTTTTTTTCTTGTCTTCTGAAAAAAGTTACATAGATCTAGATCTACATATTCCAATAATAATTATATTATTTTTACATAGGCCTAGTTACTAGTTAGAGTGAGTTAGATCTAGCATACTAGATTTCTAGATCTAGTACTAGTGTGTGTAGTGTAGATTAGGGACTTGGATGAAATTTCATTTTTAAAAAAATAAAAAATGTAGTAGCACCAGTTTATAGAGCTCATTTAGACAAGAACAAAGATATTTTTATTTTAATTTTAGCTCAAACGGTTACGAAGTTATGAATTTTTAATGTATTTAATTTTCGGTTTTTTTTACTATGGGGTTTTCTCAATTTTTTGCTTCCCTACTTTTTTGGATGCGAACTAAAATCTCTGTAACTTTTTAAATAGCAGGTATTTTGTAATGAAAATTCACTAAGATCAAGCTTATGATATCAGTAAAAGAGTAAGATAAAAATAATTGAATTGGATGAGAATGATCATAAAAAATAATGTTAACAAAGAGGGTCACCCCCCTAAAATTTTTGAATAAGCGTCTTTGATAGGCTACACACAATCTGTTGCCAAATTTTTATTATATGGAATATCTTACTGAAAATTAGCCTGAATAGTGCCAACACTGTATACATTAACAGAAAGTCAAAATATTTTACTTAGCTTATGTGGTTTTATTACAATGTTGGACAAAATAAAAAAGTCATTTTTATTCTGCGCAACTACTTTTTTTGCAAGAAAGAAGTACAATGTTGAGCTGATTTTAGATTACTTTGCTTATATGCAAGAAATATTGTAAACATGAAGGTTATTATATACTTTGATATTTCCTTTGTTCAAATTTGATTTTAAAAATATTTTATTTAATGAAAAAGGGGTTTAAACTCATATACCCCCCTTAATTTTAAACAATAAATTCTGCTATAGGCAACACATAATCTGTTGCCAAATTTTTATTATATGGAATATCTTAATGAAAATTGGCCTAATTGGTGCCAACATTGTATACATCCACACAAAGAAAAAATATTTCACTTAGCTTATGTGGTTTTGTTACAATGTTGGTCAAATTTAAAAAGTCATTTTTGTTCTGCGCAACTACTTTTTTGCAAGAAAGAAGTACAATGCTAAACTGATTTTAGATAACTAAAATTGTATCTAAATGTTGTCAATATGCATGATATTTCATCCATGTTATGTGTATGTTATCATACAATTGATATAATTTAATTTATAATTATTGTTGAACAAATAATTTAATAATTGAAATGATTTTTTTATTGGTGGAGTAATGATCACCATTTAATGTTAAAGGTAAGTTTTATAATTTAGAAACATGTGTCATATATTTAAGTGACATCTCATGCTGTGTGGATAACATGTTTAAGTCTGTTAGCTTGTATCACTTTTTTACTTTAAAAAATAACACCATCAATGATTTAAAAATGAAATCTGATTAAACATCTATTGAAGCTGTGTCTCCTCTGGCTGATAGCTTTTAGAACTGTAATAAAAACCAGCAACATCCATTCTTAAGTGGACCTATTTCTCCTTCATTGAAGTTGCTTATGAGTAGATCCACATCTTTTGATTCTCTATCCCCTTGCTGAACTGGTACATTTTATCTAGGGCCAAGACTAGTAAAAAAGCAACTGAGATGTATACTACAGCAAAAATACAGTAGTATCATATGTACTTCAAATATGCCTACAGATGAAGACTGAACATTGTACAAGGATTGTAGTAATTTAGTAATAAATCTAAAACGAACAAACTCATTCAAGAACAACATAGATCTATATCTAGGCCATACAATTAAAATGAAACAATAATTCAACTTGAAAAATTTCGCAGAAATCTATTTTTAGATCTAACTCAAAATTACAAAAAAAAATGAATCTAAATAGAAAATATGCGCACAAAGTCAACAAAAAATCATAGTTTTATCAATATAAAATATAATTCTATAATTTAAAATGATTTTAAAGTCAGATTCGTGTGGATGTTGCTGGATTTACAAATCAATTCAATTGAGAGCAATGGCGTCATTAACAACACAAGTACACTTCCGGTTTTAACCTCTGTCTTTCCCGGTAGTCGTAAAATGGCTTAAGCCTATACTTTCTAAACTATTTATAAAAAAATACCTTGCTATCGATTAACATTATGAAAATTTACACACATAAAGAAAAATGGTGATTATGGTCGGAGGGCTTTTTATTGGCCTTCCTTGTTAGTAAGTTTTTATGGTACAAAGAGTTTTACGTAGCCAAAGTTTGGCTCAAAAAATCCGTTTTCTCCTTCAACAAAATCTCAAAACAAAAATACCGTAACATATGAAATCCATTTGTTTTTCAGAATCAGTCATCAAATTATTAGTAGCATCGGCGATTTATAATAAAAAAAAAAAATTTCGATCATCACCCGCGACCGCACGGCTAAATCGACGAAACTCGGTATGGGCAGAAAACTCTCGTTTTTAGTGCCTCAAAATCTACGTCATCCAAGTCCCTAGTGTAGATCTAGATCTAGTAGATGTACATTTACATTGTACTAGATCTAGTAGTGGTACTAAGAAGTACTGTAGTAGGCCTAGCTCTAGATATGATATAGATCTAGATCTAGTAAGTTAGTAACTGTTTCTGTTCTTCTGAGATCCTATGTGTACTACTATGTGACTATGTGACTATTCGGTAAAACTCCATTTCAGCGTATTTTATTCTCCGTTGCTTGTTTACCTCCAGTTGAGCGTATTTTATTATAACAACCGAAACACACCAAAACATTAGGAAAACACGATTTATTTTTTGTATTGTATTTCTGTTTTCACAAATGAATAAAATGAATGTTTAAAAAACACGACTTATTTATTTGTATTGTATATTTGTTTTAACAAATGAATAAAAAACAACAAAGAGACTGACTGAAGTGCTTTGTTTGTTGGTTACAAAAATAGAGATGCACACTTTGTACAATTAAGTGTTCCAATTTCAACTAAACTGAATAAAAGTATTAAAAGGCACAATGATGCTGCCGAAAGTGGGCCGAGGGGGGGGGGGGGTGGAATTTGGTGAGGGATGGCTTGGAGTGTTAGAGAAAGTGTGACAACTCACATTGTCATTTTAAAAAAAATAATGTTAGAGGTCGTCCATAAATGACGTCACACTCGTAGGGGGAGGGGGGGAGGTAATTTTTCCAAAATCTTGTCAGAACTCTGTCAACATAGAGTATTTTGATCAATTCATATTACAATTTATTAAAACCGTTTTCTAAAACGTGAAATAACGGCTAAAACTTGTTTTTCTAACATTGCTTTTTTATAATGCAAAAAAGGGACGTCACACCATCTGAAACCCCACCCCCTCCCCCTCATCATACACCGTTACAAAATTGCTGACCCCCCTCTCCCTTAAGAGTGTGACGTCATTTATGGACGACCCCACATCAATTTTTTTTTAAAAGTCAGAAATTTACTCATACAAAAAAGGGAAGGATGGTAGATCTAGATTTAATATGAATTTAAATAACATACAACTCTATAGTAAAATAATTTTTTCAGTTTTAGCAAAACTGTCAAATTAAAAAACACAGAGTTTGTACATTTGTTGCATAAATACAAAAATATAAAACAGAATGATTAAACAGTGTATCAGTTTCACCATGAGAAAAATGCCTTTTTTTTAAAAAATACAATACAAATAAACAAGTCGTGTTTTTTTAAATATTCATTTTTATTCATTTGCTAAAACAAAAATACAATACAAAAAATAAATCGTGTTTTCCTAATGTTTTGGTGTGTTTCGGTTGTTATAATAAAATACGCTCAACTGGAGGTAAACAAGCAACGGAGAATAAAATACGCTGAAATGGAGTTTTACCGACTATTCTGCTGCAGCCATCTGTGCTATAGTATGGTTAAGTTAGTAAGTCACTAAGAGTGGTAAGATACTTTGTGTTATTTAATATTTTCTAAGGCTTGTAATATATAGTAATACTACTTAGACCTAGATCTAATGATAACTAGATCTATAACTCTATAACTAATGCTAAATCTACGACATAGCAGAACATACATAACTTACGTCGTAAAGGGAGAACACGCTTGGCGAACAGGTTTTGGTTCGTGTATGTGCTAGATTCTATAAGATTCTCTACCGCACCGAATAACACACACACACAATACAATTCATAAGCATAAAAAAGAAAGTTATTATATATTTTATTCGATTTGAACACAACAGAAAACAGAAATAGATCTATAAGTAATTGAGTGGGAGTCGTCCATATAGGCTATACTATAACATTATGCTTTTCGTCCGACTTAACCCCAGATCATCACCTTTGCATTTACAAAAATAATGTTAGAAACTGCTTTTCAGAAAACTGTTTTAATAAATTGAAAATTGTAATAGAAATTGATAAAAAATACTCCGTTGACCGAGATCAATCAATATTTTAGAAAAAATTTTTTTATTGTTATTTAAAAAAATAATAATTGCGCAATGAATGCTACATTTCGGTTTAACTTTTTTTTTTTAAATATCCCCTCCCATACCACCACCAGTATCGTAAAACGTCACAAAAGCCCGGTCTACATGGAAGGTTTTATACCTTACAATGTGAGAATTCGGTTTTTAAAACTACCAAATGCCCATTGATGACTTTACTTCTGTTTATTAAAGTACACTGTTTAGAAACAGCTGATGACTGGGGACCTGCACACTACAGACTACAGTCCAGTGTGTACTGAGTTAGCCGGTTAAGATAGACATTGACTTTACTTCTAGAAGGCCTTTAATATAAAGTCAAGTACGTGTAATAATTGTAATATTAATTTGAAACTAGATCTAGATCTACGCCTATTTAATATTTTTTTTTTTTACGGAATCTTTCTAACTTAATCTCAATTTTAAATTCTTTAGGACTTTTTTTTTAGGGCCTTCGGCCTTCTGTCTGTGAGATTAGTTGAGATTACTGGTACTACTAAGTGTTGACTGCTACGGCATACTCACCACTATTTATCCTATTGTAAGGCAGATAGATGGAACTAGATATGGAATTATTTATTATAGGCCAATATTAGTATTATTATTAGGCCTAGGCCTATCATTTTAACTTATTTAATATTTAAGATAGGCCTTCCCTTACTATCTTACTAATGAATGAAATAGTAAATACTAAATAGTTAGGCCTACTAAATGAAATAGCCTATAGGCCCTACTTTTTATTAGCCTAAGTAAAGTAACTAGCCTAATGACTAATAATGCCTAAATAGTATAATATATTATTAATAATTAGACCAATATGACAAATATATATTAGGCCTAATAAAAATAATTATTAGGCCTAATAAGTTAATAAAACTAGATTTATAGTAATTAGTAACTAATTAGGCCTATAGCCTATAGGCCTGGGCTTAACCAAAATAAGACTATAAAATTTGTTGCCATCTACTCTTATACTTTTGTTTTGAAATTTTCCACAACCTTATCAAGTCTTGAAAATTATGGAGCAACCCATTGAACTACTAACTTCGGAATCAAGTTTACTTGCACGCACAAGGTCAACTGCTGTTGATGCTGTAATAGACTTTACAGGTGGAACACTTGGTAGGTTAACAACTTTTGTTTACATGCTGCAAATATTGTACCTAAGACTCTTTAGTTAGTGAAGCTTTATATTGCATAATCTTGAGTGTCTGTAACAGTTAAAAAGGGGTATAGTAATTCATTTCTCCAAACCTTAATGGGTTTTTTATTTATTATTTTTTTCTGATTAAACCATAAATATTTACACACATTCAACTATGATTGCAGTTGGCCAGAGAAAAAAGCAAATATTTGATTTGATAAATTAGTGAGGTGGTATAGATGATAATCTGATACATTAGTGAGGTGGTATAGATGATAATCTGATACATTAGTGAGGTGGTATAGATGATAATCTGATACATTAGTGAGGTGGTATAGATGATAATCTGATACATTAGTGAGGTGGTATAGATGATAATCTGATACATTAGTGAGGTGGTATAGATGATAATCTGATACATTAGTGAGGTGGTATAGATGATAATCTGATACATTAGTGAGGTGGTATAGATGATAATCTGATGCATTAGTGAGGTGGTATAGATGATAATCTGATACATTAGTGAGGTGGTATAGATGATAATCTGATACATTAGTGAGGTGGTATAGATGATAATCTGATACATTAGTGAGGTGGTATAGATGATAATCTGATACATTAGTGTGGTGGTGTAGATCATTATCTGATACATTAGTGAGGTGGTATAGATGATAATCTGATACATTAGTGAGGTGGTCTAGATGATAATCTGATACATTAGTGAGGTGGTATAGATGATAATCTGATACATTAGTGAGGTGGTGTAGATCATTATCTGATACATTAGTGAGGTGGTATAGATGATAATCTGATACATTAGTGAGGTGATATAGATCATAATCTGATACATTAGTGTGGTGGTGTAGCGTGATGACTTAGTTAATCTCTGCTTTCTGCTGTCTCAGGTGGAATAACCAGTGTTTATGTAGGGCAGCCATTGGACACTGTCAAAGTGAAAATGCAAACGTTTCCGACTTTGTATCGCAATGGGCTCGACTGTTTTCTTCAGACTTACAAACAAGATGGAATAGCCAGGGGATTGTATGCAGGCACCATCCCATCTTTGGCAGCTAACATTTCTGAGAATGCTGTGCTTTTCTGTTTTTATGGCGTTTGCCAAAAATTAGTATGTTGCTACTGCTAGTTTTGTACTTCCATGTTATGATTTTTTCAAACATAAATATTCTACTTGAATAAAAAAAATAGTCCTTAATATAAGATAACATGATGTGAACATACACTAGATGTATCTTAGGAGAGAAATAATGGTTGCCCATTCTTTGGGGACTAGTAGACTTTGTAATGCCGACAGATAACAACATTAAAATAATTTCAATCTCTTATTCTGTCTAGGTGGCCAAGGTTATGGGAGGGAAGGAGATTTTATCCTTAAACCCATTGGAGAATGCCATCTCAGGAGCAATGGCTGCCTTTTTCTCCTCCTTCACCCTGTGTCCCACAGAACTGATCAAGTGTCGCCTGCAGGCCATGAGAGAGATGGCCACCAAGGGCCAGCTGGAGGGAGGATTGGAAAGATTAAAAATGTACATTTTATTTGAGAGCACTCCTAACTTTGCCATTATGGTACTTTTTTGTGTAGAAACCAATCTCCATTGTAACTAGACAGTTATTAACTAATGGTACCTAATTAATTTTCCAGAGGTCCTTTTGGACTGACCAAAGAAATCCTCAAGGCTGAAGGAATTCGAGGTGTATATAAAGGATTGACTGCAACATTTCTAAGAGAGATGCCTGGTTATTTTTTCTTTTTTGGGGCTTATGAAGTTTCTAGAATATTAATGACACCCAAGGGCAAGACAAAAGATGAAATAGGTTTGTGCCAACTAATTTGTTAGAAGAAATCGTTAATGATTACCCTTATAACAATAATCAACAGCATTTATCTTTTTGTCTACATCTAGGTGCTTTAAAGACAATAGTGTGTGGTGGACTGGGAGGGGTTGGTTTATGGGTGGCCATCTTCCCCGCTGACGTGGTCAAGTCAAGGATCCAGGTGCAGGCAGTTTCAGGTGTACCACCTACTTTTAGATTTGTCTTCATGAAAATTTTACGAGAAGAAGGTAAGTAAATCAGTAGAAGTATACATTACTTTTGGTTTGATGATAAATTTGTACTTTCTTAATTATCTGCTTATGTTGGGTTCAAATGAGTTTTGCTTCCATTTGTTTAAACATTTTTCATAACAATGTGTCTCTTTATTCAGGAGTGAAAGCATTGTACAGAGGATTAGGACCAACAGTGATTCGAACATTCCCTGCTACTGGTGCCCTGTTCCTGGCTTATGAAACAACAAAGAAATATCTAGGCAGGCTCCACAACTATTTCTATGGTAGCCAAGTAGATTGAGCCTTAGCTTGCTGTGGAAAATTGTGTGTTTTGACTGAGAGGCCTTAGGTAGATATTTTACTTACATATTTATTCAGATCTGAAAATATCACTTCAGAGTTTATTGATGTATATAGCATGTATCAACAAGTGCTTTGAAATTTTGTTTCAACTGTTGTCGCTCCTATTTGTCATCTCTTGAATTTTCACACACTCGTTTTAAAACTTGCCTGAGTATTCTTTTTTAAAAGGCCAGCATATAGTTTTTAATTTATGTACATTTTAAAACATTTATTTTAGGATTCTTTTACTGAAGTTTACTCTACGTTTTTTTTTTACCAGAATCTATATTTATTTAAATTATTGTCAATGATGTAAATACTAATTAAGAAGATAGTAATGACAACCATTATACTTTCTTGTTTATGTAATTCATTCTTTAAATAAATAACTTTCTTTACATAATAAACTGAGTTGATATTTTATTCATACTTGATCTTTTATTGCATTTAAGTTCTTCAACATATTTGTGTATAAACTAAGAATGTAAAAATTGAAAACTATTATTAATAAAAACAATATTTACAATAGCTTTAAAATTTCAAAATAAGTATAACAAAAATTCTCTATTTGTTAACAGTTTCCCTTATACAGCTTTGTGTGTTGCTGATAATGTTAAGAAGTTCTTCCTACAGCTACCCCTGTTAATTTACTGTTATTGTTATTTTTAAAACAGATTTTACTTGTGTATGATATAAAATAAAGATGTTTTATATATTAAAATGTTGACTAGACTACTACATAAACATTTCCTCAGGATGTTTTTGTTGTCAATGTAACCTTAAATATTTATCCACATTGTTTACAACTGTGCAATTATTTTTTAAATTTTATTTTATATTGCAAAAAGTTGGATTTAAAGTCTACACAAGAAAACATTGTTACAAATGTTTTTTAAAATTTAAGTATACAAAAGCTTCCTAATCTGGCATCTGATCTATTTTTTCTATTGCCAGTTAAGCTTTAAATTTATCTTTAAAATTTTAGAAATTTTATCCATTATTGCTTTTAACTTTCTCAAAAACTTTTTGTTTGCTTGAGTGAAATTTAAAAAAAAATGTTTTATCAGAGCATTGTTGTTTTACATTTAATTGCTTTGTTTTTCTCAGAATTCTTAGCCGATTGTTTCACACTTAGAGCTCATTAATTGACGTCCAGATATTTTAATTGAAACTGCGATTTGTTAGTGTCTTAGCTTCTATCTACCCATAAAACAAACAATTGTTAAAAGAAATAATTAAAAATGACGTGGATGGTTAAGAAATTTTTAATGAAGATTTTAAAATGGATAACTTTAATTCTTTAAAGAAGACTCAACTTTGGGATCTTTCACCAGATTTGCATTTAATTTTATGCTGTCTTATGATATGAATATGTCCATGTGTTATTTCATGACTTAGAATGTAACATTGTCAATATAAATAAGACCTCTGTCTTGTATTGACTGTTTCTTAATTAAGCCGTTTTTTTTTTTAAATATTCCTAGTCCAAGTTAGGTTTCACAAATTCTATGCCTTTGGTATAATAACAGTGCTATATATTGGTTAATTGTATGAATGAGTTTGGTTAGAAGATGAGTAGGATAAGATTGTGTATAACACATCAATTAGAGAATATGGTTAGAAGTTGAGGATGATTCAGCTAAGATTGAATAGAAAAACAGGATGTGGATCAACACATTAGACTATACCTAGAGGTGAACTGGGTTGATCAACACATTGTACCTGTGTGCTTACAGGTGAACTGGGTTGATCAACACATTGTACCTGTGTGCTTACAGGTGAACTGTGCTATCTTCAAAGGTTTCCTACCTGTTTTATTGTGTCTGCTAATGAAATTATGATTTTTTAAAAATGTTCAATAATTGTGCAAGTCATAAAAATATGTAGCATAATTCATATTCCCTATGTCAAGCATTGTATGTGATGTTTTAAAATGTTTTGATTGTTGATCAAATAATCAATGACGTTATATAAATGATATAAAACATGATGTTACATAAATTGTTGATAAAAAAACTTGATATTCTAGAAAGTATGTGTTCAGTTAGTGAGTGGGTTTGGTTTGTTTCAGTCTGTTATAATTAGCGAGATGGTGTTTATGAGACACATGATTAATAAACGAAAATAAACAAAGTATGTGTTGTTTTGTTCTGTTTTGACTTAAATTTTCAGGCTTTGTGTTTTGTAAGTCGGCATTAAAACTCGGCATACAAAGGTTTAACCAGAAACACTTTATAATGAGGGGTGGAGGCGGTTAACTGACAACATGGAGATGTTTATTAAAAGTAGAAATAAACTCTTAATCTAATTCCTGATATAAATAGAACGCCGAAAAATAAAAGTCAATGGTAAACAAAAATTTCTTGTCACCGAGTTTCAGCGTAAGTGAAGCGTCACAGAGGTCAAGGTCACACAACCAAATGTTTGTCGCCTCTGGTAGATGCGCGGTATCAACTGTCCAGAGCTGTCGTCTGAACAAATATCACAGACGATAAGGGCCACAATAAGGTTAGGCCAGTGAACTTTGACCCTCTCCTTAGATACCGACTGGTCGCCAGCTACAAATATTACGTCCAATTATGTGCTGTTGTTTACGTACATAGGCCACTCTGTCTTTGGTCGAAATGTTGGCAGACTTACAGTGAATAGCACATTTTCTGTGACGTTGTGAGTTTATTGTGACGCTATTTTTAGGCGACCCTAGACGTCATCATTTTAATAGGCGACACAAAATAAACCCTTAAAATTTAAGTCTGTTTTTGTAATAGAGAGAGTTGCCTGGAAGAAACCTTGACGGTGACATGTCGAGGGTGGGGCCTTCAGTGTGTATATCCCCCAGGTTGAGGGTGGGGCCTTCAGTGTGTATATCCCCCATGTCGAGGGTGGGGCCTTCAGTGTGTATATCCCCCAGGTTGAATGTGTCGTAGTCTACCCCAGTCATCGACAGCACGTCACCGTCCAGCTTGGCGCGCGGCAACGTGTATCTCTGTATCAACGTGATGCGGTCTTTCCATGAGGGTAGCTTCTCTTCAGGGGAAGTAACCGCTGGTTGTCCCAAGTTAGCTGGATTATTTTCATGGTTGTCTTTCTTTTTTCTGCGCATAAAGCTAGTTATGATGTGAGATTTCCGATAGCACATCCAATAAAACAACACTTCTGAATGTTCGGGCTAAAAATAAAACTCCAAGAATGCCGATCTTTCTATCAGTCCCTGACTTTATCAATGTTTGTTTTTTCTTAGGCCTCTCTCCGTCCCCAACGAAGTAGGCAAAATATTCGGAGCCGAATATCTGAAAGAAACCCTCAACATCACACACATCTGACAATATCAATGTCGGAGATGTTGTTGATGCTGTTGAGGATGTTGTTGTTACTGATGTTGTAGTTGGAGTTTTTATTGATGCTGTTGATGTTGTAGTTACTGTAGGTAAAGCCGATTGCCCGAAGGCCGTTTTCCCGAATGGACACTTGCCCGAATGCCACTTGCCCAAAGGCCGTTCGCCCGAAAAATGTTCATATTATATATTACCAGGTACACATTCTTAATCAATTCAAATTTGAAATTTTGATAATCAACACAATGTTAAGCATAAAAAAATTAGTTTATATTTTTAAATTTAGCTTTAATTTTTGAAAAATGAGCGATAGACTTGAAAAGCTGGTTCCAGATTTTTGTTGCCAGAAAGTTTTTCAACCAAAATTGAATATTTTTAAACATTTGTGAAATAAGTACAAAATTACTTCTGGTTTCATTAAGTCTAGAAAAAGTCAAAGAAATAACTACTAGAAATATAATAGTAGTTTAGTAAACATTTTTATTTTTAATTTGGATTAGTAGAGTCAGGGTGTTATGGTGATTAGGGATGTTATATTATTCAATATAAATACAATACTATTCTGTAAACCGTAAACCACTATTTTTTATTTTATCATGGAAAACATTTGTTCTTTCTTTTATTGTTTTACTCTCCCTGGCCATTGCGGTCGAATTCAAAGAGAATGTTGAGGGGAGTTTTGGTATATACTTATATTCGATACAAAAATATGAAAATGTGTGTAATCAATGGTTCCCAAACGGCTTTAATTTTTAAAAATGTAACTATAATTTTATAGCAAGCCATATTTTTAAAAAGATTTTTTTTTTTCAAAAATGAGTGTGATTTCACATAGACTTTTCATGCCTATTGCTTTAAAAATAAACATTTTGAATTCTTTAAAATTCTGTAAGAGTTGTGTTGTCTTTACATTCTTTTAATTAGTTTTGAACACCTTGTTTGAGGTCGCGGTGTAGCTGATGTCTGATCTCCATTCAACGCACATTGTTTAGACAATGTGTTAAAGCGATTACTTAATATGTAAATTGAAATTCATTTTTTTTTAATATCTGAGATAAAATGGTACATTTTTTTTTCAAATGTGTTTATTATCCAAATGCAGAATTCAGATTTATCAACAATGTCTATGTGGTAATAAATAATACTGAATTTTGCCGTAGAGCAAGTGGCTTGTGTATTTAGTGCAGACGATATTCATTTACTCAAACTCTTTACTCTTACAGGTTGCGATTCTCATAAATTATTGTCAGTGTTTTAATTGTATCACGTTAAATACTCATTATTTAAAGGGGCATAAGTATTAAACATTGTTCTTTCATTTTAAAATGATTTATTTCAAACAAAAAATTGCCTCATCATGACAGCAGGCAATAAAAATGCACAAGCTATAAAACATTTTTACTCATTTTCTAAAAATTAAAAAAACAAATATGAGATTTAAATTTCCTCACAATGCAAGCATAGATAAGAATCGTTTGTTCCATTGAATTTACCTGCTCTTAAATGATTTACTTCAATACAATTTTGATGTGCGACTCTAGTGCAAAGGTAACAACTTAGCCAACGTGGAGATTGGTTGTGCAAATAAATCCTGTTGTTACAGAGTGAACACAGGGGGTTTAAAGAAGGAATCTCCCTGAGGATATCCCATCCCTGATTGGCTGCTGCCCTCATTTTCTGATTGGTGTTCCCTGGAGTTTTCTTGTCTGCTTGGGCTTCATTGTCTCTGCTGACCGTTTGAAAACTTTGACCCAATTTTTTGTGGCTATCATCGCTCTGGTCAGGTTCTGTTTAAATAAAAAGAAACTAAGTTTTAGAAAAGTAAGTTTCGTTAAAATGTGAGCGATATTAGTTTTAACATATTAAAAATTTTATATAGAAAAAACTTTGAAAAATCAGAAGTTGTTGGCAATTGATATGTTGATTAATCGATTATTTCCCTTGGTTTTCTTTTTTTTTCCCATTATTAACAACGCTTATTAACTACGCCTTTCAATAACGTCGCGGCTATTTAATCACTAAGTCGATCTTGCCCCATGGATGATTTCAAATAAGACAGTGGAGTTTTAACTTGATAAAAGAACGTTCCCAGCTTGCAATAGGTACAGGAATCGTTAGAAGGATGAAAAAAATATCGTTGCCAAATGAAATTATAAAGGATCGCAGGCCAAAGGACAACAGTGGGAGGCAGCAGTAAAAGCTTGGATCAGCAGATAAACAGATGGGAGGAACACTTTAAAACCAATTACTGTTTCCTTTATAAAGTTCTATTTTTTTTCTGTTATGCACACGTTTGCGTTCTTTTCCTTGCGTATTTTTTTTCCTACTCTATTCTATTCTATTTGAAATAAACTGAAGTGATCTGCTTTAAACTTCCCGTAATTCGTACTTTGAAATTTGTACTCAAAACTTTGTTAATATACTTTTTAAATAAATTAGTTTAAAAAAAAACCACATGACCTATTTCAGCCATTTTGTTTCAATTTCTGTGAATGATAAATATCAACAAAAATAATTGTTTTTGGCTTTTTTTTTTTACATTTTGTTTAGTTACCGAAAATGCTAAAAACACTAATTACATCCAATCTTTAGTAATCAAATAGATTTTTATAACCATATTTATTTTAGTAACATTGTACATGATTTTAAAATATTTAATAGGCCTTACGAATAACTTTGAAACTATTCTGCCCCGTGAGTACTTTGTCGCCTACATTCCTTTTAAAGAGCACCATACAAAAGGGGCACGGTGGCAGACAAACTTGGCTGATTAAACCAGAGACAGTACCCGCTTCCGCTGTGGTAGTGTACCTCAACGTCCTAGAGACATGGGAGGGTGAATAACGTAGACCCAAGACTTTCATGGTGGTAGTGTACCTCGACGTCCTAGAGACATGACCCAAGACTTTGATGCATCTCAGTGAGTCTGGGCGGTAGTGTGAACATACCTGGCCACAACAACAAAGCTTCAAGAAGTATAACGCCGGCATTGCTTGCATTTGAACAACTTAGTTCTAGAAAACAAGGTCACGCGTCTAAAAATACACAATTGGTAACGCATTGGTAAAGCCATACCCCTCCCCCACCCCATTCCCGAGTAGGACTAAAGCTTCCCCGATCCGACTAAAACAACTCCCACCTTTACTGCCCCTCCCCACTGGTCCTCTGCCCACCCTACTGGTATAACACCAGTGAAGTTTACGTTTATCTGTGATCCCTGAAGCCTCCGTGTTCTGTAACTTGTCCTCTTTTGTGTGTTGCCGCAAGATGACCATAGGCATCCCTTCCAGTAGCTCGTAGTTCAGTGACCGGTATGCTTTTTCAGCTGAAAATAAATGAGCCATAAGATTTCCAAATAACCTGCTTATTTTGTTTACAAATATTTTATAAATATCGTTTTATAAGAGGCTTAAGAGGCATATCGTGAAGTCTAGCTTAACTCTTGCAGCGTAACGCAAAGTGGCTTGCAGTCTATGTTATAGCGATTGACATAAGAAATCTACTGTGGCCACACTCCAGTTCAACTGGCTACTAGAGTAGATAACCATAGACTGTCCAGTCTAAATGAGGTCAACCTAGTACAGTTGTCCAGCCACTAACCTTGGGCAGCATCATCAAAGTCAACATACGCATAGCGTAAAGAATTTCCTGTGACACCCTTCCAAAACAATTGAACGGATGTTACTGTCCCCATAGGAGAGAACTTCTTGTACACCATTTCCTGCAAACAAATAACAACAACAAATGGCTACATCTGTTTTCTTTTTCTGATAACGATACTTTAGCCACAAATATTTTTGGTTGAAATCTCCGGCATGGTACAACATTGTATCTGTCTATAATTTTGTCACCATTGCCGTTAGGATCATTTCTAGCGTTAGAATCAGTGTATATATATATATATATATATATATATATATATATATATATATATATATATATATATATATATATATATATATATATATATATATAAAATTTGTCCATGGTATCATTTGTCCTGATATATTTTGTCCTGGTAACTTTTGTCTGTGAGATTATTTGTCCGTGACATATTTTGTCTGAGATCATTTGTTCTGTCACCGTCATATTATGTAAAATAATTCATACATATGTACAAATGAAAGAAATTTTCATTAGTTACCTCTATCGCATATGACTAACTAGATCTAGACCTAGTTTCATTTGAATTTACGACGCAAAAATAAAGGTTTTACCTAAAGTCAGTACTAGTAAGTAGGACTAGAATCTAGTAGTGACTAGCTAGGGTTAAGAGTGCTAGATCTATTAGATCTAGCTCTAGATCTAGTGCAAGGGCTACGGCAAGGATCGGTGCTGAGACACTAAAGACTCAGACTAAAGAGTGTAAAGATTTCCAAAACAAAGGATTACATTTTACATTAACATCGATAAACCCTACCCACGGCTACCTTTCTTACAAAAACAGACCATGTGTGTTTAGTTTTAAATTAATTAGATTTTATTAGATCCAGATCTAGAAATCTAGTAATATTATTAAAATTAAGTAGATTTCTAGATTCTAAATAAAAAAGACTAGATCTAGATCTAGATGTAAATACCTCGTTGACATGAGGCAAAATCTCCACAATTAAAACCGAAGAGGCTGACTTATCAGCCAAGTCGTTAGTCTGAGTAGAAGTCATGACTTCAACAGTTTGCTGGAGCTTAGGACGTCGATCTAGTCTTGTCAGTGCAAAAACAGGAACAAACGTTTTATTTCGAAAATAACTCAAAGATTTTAGATTGCCTCTGAGAAAGTTTTGTCAATTCATAAGAGAATGACGTCACACTTCCTTCGATTAAAGACGATAAATTTAAGTGTGTACTGCAAGTCAACGATATTGGGAATTCCCACCGACGTATGGTGATCGAGTAAGGCACAGAAGAAATGGTCACCCAGAAATATGTTATTCGACATGCAATGATTTTTTAAATTTTCAAGCTGCACTTTAGACTTGTATGAACTTATTTTTGTAACTTTAATTTGATATGGTTACATCTCCCATGGTTACAGACTTAGTAACAAAACTGGCATGTTATATCACAGCTGTTTGACTGTTTGCGCTAGTCCCACAAACTTTGTCATGACTGTTACCCAAGCCCCGATCCTTACAGTAATCCTGCTTCCTCTAATCAACACCTAACAACAATAGCGGCAGATATTAAATAATTTGAAGCCATTCTTTATCGTCTGTCTAGCATTAACATACTTATTATAACCAAGATTGTTTTGTTTCCGGCGCATGACATTCCAGAACACCTCTGGTAGATGTTTGTCCGAAGTTTGTCGCCTCTGGTAGATGCGCGGTATCAACTGTCCAGAGCTGTCGTCTGAACAAATATCACAGACGATAAGGGCCACAATAAGGTTAGGCCAGTGAACTTTGACCCTCTCTGTAGATACCGACTGGTAGCCAGCTACAAATATTACGTCCAATTTTGTGCTGTTGTTTACGTACATAGGCCACTCTGTCTTTGGTCAAAATGTTGGCTGACTTACAGTGAATAGCAAATTGGCTTTTCTGTGACGTTATGGATAGATCATAGATCTATATTGTGAGGCTAAGATACATCTGATTTTCAGACGTAATCATTTTAGTCTATTAAATATAGTTGGCGACTTATAAAAATTAAAACCTTGAAATTGTAATATGTTTTTGTAATACAGTTTTATTGACAAAGTCATAGTAAACCTAAAGTTTTTTTCCCACATAATTTTCCTTGCGCCTGCTAGCTACAGCTTTTTAAAACATGTTTTTTTTTAACATCTGGAACGTGATCTTGCTAGTAGCGTCTTTTTCCAAATCCATCTTGAATTTCAAGTTTCAGATTTTTAAAGGCCTACATTATTGTCTGGTCTTTGGGGCACCAGGGTCAATACATGAAAGGAAAATCAATAATAATCATGAAATCCACATTACTTTTTAGAATTATTTACTTCATGTTTTTTGTTTGATTAAATAGGCCTACTTATTGAACATCCATTGAACATCTATTGAACATCTATTAAATATCTATTGAACACCTATTGAACATGTATTGAACATCTATTGACCATTTATTGAACATCTATTGAACATCTATTGAACATCTATTGAACATTTATTGAACATCTATTGAACATCTATTGAACATCTATTGAACATCTATTGAACATCTATTGAACATCTATTGAACATCTATTGAACATCTATTGAACATCTATTGAACATCTATTGAACATCTATTGAACATCTATTGAACATCTATTGAACATCTATTTCTGTGACTGAAGCTCATCGATCAGGTCTTGAATGTTCTCGTACAGATGATACTCATCTACTTGACCCTCTGGGTCGGGCTTCGAAGGAGTATCGTACGGCGACATGTCGAGGGTGGGGCCTTCAGTTTGTTTATCCCCCAGGTTGAATGTGTCGTAGTCTACCCCATTCACCGACAGCACGTCACCGTCCAGCTTGGCGCGCGGCAACGTGTATCTCTGTATCAACGTGATGCGGTCTTTCCATGAGGGCTGTCTCTCTTCAGGGGAAGTAACCGCTGGTTGTCCTAAGTTAGCGGGTTTATTTTCGTGGTTATCTTTCTTTTTTCTGCGCATAAAGCGAGTGACGATGTAAGAGACTGCCGATAGGACATCCAATAAAACGACACTTCCGAATGCCAGGGCTAAAAATAGAACTCCGAGAATGCCTATCCCAGCAGCCGAGGGTCTTTCATCGTACGCGCTTTCATATCTGTAGAGATTAATGAGTGGTCATTTCATATCTGTAAGATTAATGAGTGGTCATTTCATATCTGTAAGATTAATGAGTGGTCATTTCATATCTGTAGAGATTAATGAGTGGTCATTTCATATCTGTAGAAATTAATGAGTGGTCATTTCATATATGTAGAAATTAATGAGTGGTCATTTCATATCTGTAGAAATTAATGAGTGGTCATTTCATATCTGTAGAAATTAATGAGTGGTCATTTCATATCTGTAGAAATTAATGAGTGGTCATTTCATATCTGTAGAAATTAATGAGTGGTCATTTCATATATGTAGAAATTAATGAGTGGTCATTTCATATCTGTAGAAATTAATGAGTGGTCATTTCATATCTGTAGAAATTAATGAGTGGTCATTTCATATCTGTAGAAATTAATGAGTGGTCATTTCATATCTGTAGAAATTAATGAGTGGTCATTTCATATATGTAGAAATTAATGAGTGGTCATTTCATATCTGTAGAAATTAATGAGTGGTCATTTCATATATGTAGAAATTAATGAGTGGTCATTTCATATCTGTAGAAATTAATGAGTGGTCATTTCATATATGTAGAAATTAATGAGTGGTCATTTCATATCTGTAGAAATTAATGAGTGGTCATTTCATATATGTAGAAATTAATGAGTGGTCATTTCATATCTGTAGAAATTAATTAGTGATCATTTCATATCTGTAGAAATTAATGAGTGGTCATTTCATATATGTAGAAATTAATGAGTGGTCATTTCATATCTGTAGAAATTAATGAGTGGTCATTTTATATTTGTAGCAATTAATGAGTGGTCATTTCATATCTGTAGCAATTAATTAGTGATCATTTCATATCTGTAGAAATTAATTAGCCATTGTCCAAGGTCTTTTAAAAACTTCCCGCTTGACGTCACCAGTGTTTCTTACAGGTATGTCTCAATCCACGCCCCTCTCCCCCCCCCCCCTTCCACCCCACTCACATAAGAGAACAAATATTCTCAGCAAAATGTGTGAAAGAAACACTGGACACGACCAAAATCTGTCCCCATGTACTCACTTGATCCGTGTGTTGTGTGTTGTTTTAGCATCTATCGTCAACTCTTTCTCTATCTCCTCTTTCTTCTCGTCAATTATGTCTTGCGTGATGTTTTTACAGGTGCACGCACACCATCTTCCTGATGTTGCTTGTGTTGTTGTTGTTGGGGTTTTTGGTGTGGTTGTTGTTGGGGCTTTTGTTGTTGTTGTTAATGTGGCTTTTGGTGTTGTTGTTGGGGCTTTTGTTGTTGTTGTAGATTTCGTTGTTGTTGTTGTTGGGGCTTTTGTTGTTGTTGATGATGTGGCTTTTGGTGTTGTAGATTTTGTTGTTGTCGATGATGCCGATAACGTTGTAGTTTGGGAGGTTGTTGATGTTGTAGTTGTAGTTTTTGTTGATGTTGCTGACGTTGAAGTTACTAACGGTGTTGTTGTCGATGTTGCTGTTGTTGTTGTACTTGATGAAATTGGTGAGGTTGTCAGGGTTATGTTCATTACTGAAACAGAAACATCAGTCAAGGCACTTTCTTATTTTATAGTGTTGTGTATCCGAAACCCTCATTCTATTTGATCCCAACTCAAAACTTAGCTGCAATAAAGACATACATCTAGAGATTTCTAGTTCACCGAGGACGAGAGACCATATATACATAGATTTCCATATCACTAAAGACGTGAGACTCACCGTTTTCACAAAAGTTGCCGGTAAAATTTTCCCGGCACTGACACAAGAAGTCGTAGGGCAGGTCGACACACGTGCCGCCATTTTTACAAGACAAGTTGGTACAGGCATTGTGGGAGTCTGCGGACAGGTGAGTTTGTCTGACATTATGACAGGTGACATTATGACATGTGACATTATGACAGGTGACATTATGACAGGTGACAGGTGAAACTATGACTGGTGACAGGTGAAACTATGACTGGTGACAGGGTTAGAGGTGAAAAGAATTAGAAAATAAATTATGACTGATTAATTTCTAAACATCTGTGTCAAGTATTTGGTAACACCAGTCCCCTGTCAAGTATTAGGTAACCAAACACAACTTGCCAATTTCACACCTGTCCCCTGTCAAGTATTAGGTAACCAAACTCAACTTGCCAATTTCACACCTGTCCCCTGTCAAGTATTAGGTAACCAAACACAACTTGCCAATTTCACACCTGTCCCCTGTCAAGTATTAGGTAACCAAACACAACTTGCCAATTTCACACCTGAACCCTGTCAAGTATTAGGTAACCAAACACAACTTGCCAATTTCACACCTGTCCCCTGTCAAGTATTAGGTAACCAAACTCAACTTGCCAATTTCACACCTGTCCCCTGTCAAGTATTAGGTAAACAAACACAACTTGCCAATTTCACACCTGAACCCTGTCAAGTATTAGGTAACCAAACACAACTTGCCAATTTCACACCTGTCCCCTGTCAAGTATTATGTAACCAAACACAACTTGCCAATTTCACACCTGTCACCTGTCAAGTATTAGGTAACCAAACACAACTTGCCAATTTCACACCTGTCTCCCGACAGCTGGTCACCGCAGTAGCACGTGACTTTGTTACCTGTGACGTAACAGATGCCCTGGTTCTTGCAGGGATCAGACGAGCAGTTGTCTACCCCTGGGTAAAACAGCGGGGGGGGGGGTAATTCAGGAGTCAGTTTGTAGACAGCTAACTGATTAGAGGTGAACTCATTAAAACAACGCCATTGTACCTGTGAAAAAGTCAATCTTCAGCCCCAGGGGTAGGGCCATGCCTGAGCCAGGCCCAGATACTGTCAAGATCAAGTTGCTGGAGGGGGGGAAGGTTTGGTGGTCTAGGAACTTCCGGTCTAGTTTACGTGCATCGTAGATCTGAGGGGGAGGGGAGGTGTGGTTATATGATCAGGTAAGGGGCAGGGCTAGTTATATAATGGGGGAATGGGTCGTTTATATGATGAGGGGAGTGGTAGTTATATGATGACGAGAGGGGTAGTTATATAATCAGGGAAGGGGTAGTTATATGATGAGGGGAGTGACAGGGTAGTTATATACAAAGGACGTTAGGGAGGTGTAGCTATTTGATGAGGGACGTTATTGGCAGGAGTAGTTAGATCTTCTTTTTATTTTGTTATATTTCCCAGGGAGGGGAGTGTTAGTTATATAATCAGGGACATTAAACATACTTTAAAACAAGTGAGGACGTGAGTCCTCGAAAACTGAAGGATTTGAACCCCAGCCTTACATTGAAACCACTCTGCCTCCTGCTGTTGACGTTAAAGCCATCGATGTCCAGCAGGGTGTTGTTGTCTGGACACACGGCCGTCACGTGGTACAGGTATGACGTCAGGTTCCCCAGCAGCTGGGTCCAGTCTACGTTCAGGTTGTAGCAGGCGTCAAACCTCCCTACGGGCGCCACCACGGCCATGGAGGCGTCCCCGACCTTCACCTTGCCGTCCCTGACCCCTGCGCTGGTCGTGTAGACAACCACAAGCACGGGCTGGCTGGAGTTAAGTCTGACCACAGTCCCGGGCAAGATGGCCACCTCGGTAAACAGACGGTTGTCCTGGGTGAAGGCGCCTACCCCGCCCGAAAAGGTGAAGGTCACATTTGTTTTATCTAGGTCAAGATAGAAATGTTTGTGAGTACAAACAATTTTATTGGTGGGCCGGGGTCATCTTAATTACTGTTACTTTTTCATTAATTTAACCATTTCACCAATTTAATCCAGTACACTCTTTTACTTATTTAATTCATTAACCGTAACTTATTTAGATAATAAAACTGTTTGACTTACTAAATAAACTAATTAAGCTATATCAATTATTTAATTAGTCAAACTGTCAGAAGATAAACTGGCCACGAACCTGTCACCCTCAGAGGCTCGAGGTAAACAACACGAATGATGGACTTGCGCTCAGCCAAAGTGGGCACGACGTACTCTCTGCCCAACACTCGTGTAGGGGGCATCATCTCCACAATCAGGTCACACTCAGGGCTACCTGATGGTCAGTACATGAGCTCTGTCACTGACAGTGTCAAAAGTCATACCTAGGGCTACCTGTTGATCAGTACAATAGCTCTGTCCCTGACAGTGTCAAAAGTCATACCTACCTGATGGTCAATACAATAGCTCTATCAATTGTCAAAAGTCATACCTACCTGATGGCCAGTACAATATCTCTGTCCCTGACAGTGTCAAAAGTCACACTCAGAAATACCTACTGCCTACTTGGACCATCAAACACGTTACCTGTGTTAAAGTCATTGTGTAGATAAAACCCACACACGGAGACGGAACTCCCTGGCTACCATAGGGGGTGTAGGGATCAAGAGAGGGGGTACAGCAAGTTGATTCAGGGTGGTGGTGGTGGGGGGGGGGGATACACAAGGATACACAAGGATTTCCGCCTTTGGTCTCCGTATTTGATGCACCATTTTTTTCACATAGCCGCAACTGTTCTTGTGATGTAACAATTAAAGGAGCCTGCGGATAACTTAAAGTCTGGAGCCATGAGCAAGATTGATGGACCCCAGAGATAAATGAGATGGGTTGAAGGGCTATCTGGTGGGACCGAAACTGAAACCTTACGCTTGAAAATAAGGGACTGTGTCTAGAGATCTAAGACTATTTGCCTTGAGGAATTGGGGGGCCTTTTCTAGAGGGACTGAGACATTTTACCTTGAGGGATTGAGGGATTGTGTCTAGAGGGACTGTGTCTAGAGGGACTGTGTCTACAGGGACTGGGACACTTTACCTTGAGGGATTGAGGGATTGTGTCTAGAGGGACTGTGTCTAGAGGGACTGTGTCTAGAGTGACTGTGTCTACAGGGACTGGGGCACATTACCTTGAGGGATTGAGGGACTGTGTCTAGAGTGACTGTGTCTACAGGGACTGGGGCACATTGCCTTGAGGGATTGAGGGACTGTGTCTAGAGTGACTGTGTCTACAGGGACTGGGGCACATTACCTTGAGGGATTGAGGGACTGTGTCTAGAGGGACTGTGTCTAGAGTGACTGTGTCTAGAGTGACTGTGTCTACAGGGACTGGGGCACATTACCTTGAGGGATTGAGGGACTGTGTCTAGAGTGACTGTGTCTACAGGGACTGAGACACTTTACCTTGAGGGATTGCAGCACACGGAGTCCCCGAGATGACCGCCACTGGCTTGCTGCTTTTGATGATACTTCCGGTGAGGTCGTCCTCACAGAAGACACGCAGCACATCTTCCCTGCCCAGGTCAGACCTCATGGTGTGCTGTCTGTCAAAACTCGTCTTCTTCCCCAGACATCTGGACAGACAAACATCTGGGCAAACTAGTTGTAACATCTGACCAAACTAGTTGTAACATCTGACCAAACTAGTTGTAACATCTGACCAAACTAGTTATAACATCTGGGCACACAAGTTTTAACATCTGACCAAATTAGTTGTAACATCTGACTAAACTAGTTTTAACATCTGACCAAATTAGTTGTAACATCTGACCAAACTAGTTTTAACATCTGACCAAATTAGTTGTAACATCTGACCAAACTAGTTGTAACATCTGACCAAACTAGTTGTAACAGCTGACCAAATTAGTTGTAACATCTGACCAAACTAGTTGTAACATCTGAGCAAATAAGTTGTAACATCTGACCAAATAAGTTGTAACATCTGACCAAACTAGTTGTAACATCTGGACAAACAAACATCTGACCAAACTAGTTGTAACATCTGACCAAACTAGTTGTAACATCTGACCAAATAAGTTGTAACATCTGACCAAACTAGTTGTAACATCTGACCAAACTAGTTGTAACATCTGACCAAACTAGTTTTAACACCTGACCAAACTAGTTGTAACATCTGACCAAACTAGTTGTAACATCTGGACAAACAAACATCTGACCAAACTAGTTGTAACATCTGACCAAACTAGTTGTAACATCTGACCAAATAAGTTGTAACATCTGGACATACAAACATCTGACCAAACTAGTTGTAACATCTGACCAAACTAGTTGTAACATCTGACCAAATAAGTTGTAACATCTGACCAAACTAGTTGTAACATCTAGACAGACAAACATCTGACCAAACTAGTTGTAACATCTGACCCAAACTGACCAAACAAGTTGTAACATTTGGGCAAACAATTGGAAATTTCGGGAGTGGGAGGGACATAGTGTGTGTATGTGTAAGTGATGTACCATGTATGTAGTTTATCTAGCTGACTGCATGCTACCTACCTGGTTGAGTGCGAGCTACCTACCTAGTTATGTGCATGCTACCTTCCTAGCAAACTGCATGCTACCTACCTAGATGAGTGCGTGGTACCTACCTAGTTGAGTGCATGCTACCTACCTAGTTGAGTGCATGCTACCTACCTAGTTAAGTGCATGCTACCTACCTAGCTCACTGCATGCTACCTACCTAGTTGAGTGCATGCTACCTATCTAGTTGAGTGCATACTACCTACCTAGTTGAGTGCATGCTACCTACCTAGTTGAGTGCATGCTACCTACCTAGTTGAGTGCAAGCTACCTACCTAGTTGAGTGCATGCTACCTACCTGATTGAGTGCATGCTACCTACCTAGTTGAGTGCATGCTACCTACCTAGTTGAGTGCATGCTACCTACCTAGTTGAGTGCATGCTACCTACCTAGCTCACTGCATGCTACCTACCTAGTTGAGTGCATGCTACCTACCTAGTTGAGTGCATGCTACCTACCTAGTTGAGTGCATGCTACCTACCTAGCTCACTGCATGCTACCTACCTAGTTGAGTGCATGCTACCTACCTAGTTGAGTGCATGCTACCTACCTAGTTGAGTGCGTGCTAACTACCTAGTTAAGTACATGCTACCTACCTAGTTGAAGTTAAAACATTGAATAATATCGTCACTGTTGTGTCATCTTCTGCAGCAACGATTACTATCTCACCTGGAATATAAAAAAAATCAACAGGGAGTGATCTCCCCTAAACTTTCTCGAATAGTCTTATACAACACTACGGGGTATGGCAACTCGGGATATAGACATGATTTTAATCCATTTTTAATTACTTAAACTTTTTTCTTGCACGATTACAATACTCTCTCTATACTTCGTATATACGAGAAAGTAAAAACCAGAGGATAAAAAATGACGCAATATTTACCTAACTCATTTTCGACATTTCATTATACAAACCGAAGAAAATGATTTGTGAAAGGCTAGCGCTCCAGACCAATTTAACATCAGATAACTCCAGTGTTTCTTCCAGACTTTTTTCTCCGGGGGGGGGGGGGGGCACTTGAAATCTTCGGGGGGGCGGTAAACTTTCTTCGGGGGGGCGGACACTGTTAAAAGTATATATTTTCTATATAAATTATATAAATTTCATTTCGTTCGGGGGGGCGGTAAAAAAGATGCCTGGAAGAAACTCTGGATAACTCTAATTTTGAGTTCTATACTCATCTTGCGGGTAGATAACTCTATTTTTGAGTTCAATCAGGCAGATAACTCTAATTTTGAGTTCTAGCGGGCAGATAACTCTAATTTTGAGTTTTAGCGGGCAGATAACTCTAATTTTGAGTTCTAGCGGGCAGATAACTCTAAGATCAGGTTGGCATTACCTCCCGTCTTGTTGAGTCCCTGGTACGTGGCCACCACGTAGTGGTTCCCCCACTTGTCTATGGGCAGGGCCAGGTAGGCGCCCTGCGACCCCTCCCCCAGCGTCACGCCGTACACGCTGACCGGGTCCGTGGAGTAGACGGCCACGGCCTGCTTCCTGTGGACCCTCGGGCCTTGGACGGTTGTGCCGGACGGGAGCTGTGGAGTCAGGGTGTTAGAAGAGTCAGGGTGTTGGAGGAGTCAGGGTGTTAGAGGAGTCACGGTGTTAGAGGAGTCAGGGTGTTAGAGGAGTCAGGGTGTTAGAGCTGTGGAGTCAGTGTGTTAGAGCTGTGGAGTCGGGTGTTAGAGGAGTCAGGGTGTTGGAGGAGTCAGGGTGTTAGAGCTGTGGAGTCAGGGTGTTAGAGGAGTCAGGGTGTTAGAGGAGTCAGGGTGTTAGAGCTGTGGAGTCAGTGTGTTAGAGCTGTGGAGTCGGGTGTTAGAGGAGTCAGGGTGTTAGAGGAGTCAGGGTGTTAGAGCTGTGGAGTCAGTGTGTTAGAGCTGTGGAGTCGGGTGTTAGAGGAGTCAGGGTGTTGGAGGAGTCAGGGTGTTAGAGCTGTGGAGTCAGGGTGTTAGAGGAGTCAGGGTGTTGGAGGAGTCAGGGTGTTAGAGGAGTCAGGGTGTTAGAGGAGTCAGGGTGTTGGAGGAGTCAGGGTGTTAGAGGAGTCAGGGTGTTAGAGGAGTCAGGGTGTTAGAGGAGTCAGGGTGTTAGAGGAGTCAGGGTGTTGGAGGAGTCAGGGTGTTAGAGGAGTCAGGGTGTTAGAGGAGTCAGGGTGTTAGAGGAGTCAGGGTGTTGGAGGAGTCAGGGTGTTAGAGGAGTCAGGGTGTTAGAGGAGTCAGGGTGTTAGAGGAGTCAGGGTGTTGGAGGAGTCAGGGTGTTAGAGGAGTCAGGGTGTTAGAGGAGTCAGGGTGTTAGAGGAGTCAGGGTGTTGGAGGAGTCAGGGTGTTAGAGCTGTGGAGTCAGTGTGTTAGAGCTGTGGAGTCGGGTGTTAGAGGAGTCAGGGTGTTAGAGCAGTCAGGGTGTTGGAGGAGTCAAGGTGTCAGAGGAGTCAGGGTGTTGGAGGAGTCAGGGTGTTAGAGGAGCCAGGGTGTTAGAGGAGCCAGGGTGTTAGAGGAGTCAGTGTGTTAGAGCTGTGGAGTCGGGTGTTGGAGGAGTCAGGGTGTTAGAGGAGCCAGGGTGTTAGAGGAGTCAGGGTGTTAGAGGAGTCAGGGTGTTGGAGGAGTCAGGGTGTTAGAGGAGTCAGGGTGTTAGAGGAGTCAGGGTGTTAGAGCTGTGGAGTCAGGTGTTAGAGGAGTCAGGGTGTTAGAGGAGTCAGGGTGTTAGAGGAGTCAGGGTGTTAGAGGAGTCAGGGTGTTAGAGCTGTGGAGTCAGGTGTTAGAGCTGTGGAGTCAGGTGTTAGAGGAGTCAGGGTGTTAGAGGAGTCAGGGTGTTAGAGGAGTCAGGGTGTTAGAGGAGTCAGGGTGTTAGAGGAGTCAGGGTGTTAGAGGAGTCAGGGTGTTAGAGGAGTCAGGGTGTTAGAGGAGTCAGGGTGTTGGAGGAGTCAGGGTGTTAGAGGAGTCACGGTGTTAGAGGAGTCAGGGTGTTAGAGGAGTCAGGGTGTTAGAGGAGTCAGGGTGTTAGAGGAGTCAGGGTGTTAGATGAGTCAGGGTGTTGGAGGAGTCAGGGTGTTAGAGCTGTGGAGTCAGTGTGTTAGAGCTGTGGAGTCGGGTGTTAGAGGAGTCAGGGTGTTGGAGGAGTCAGGGTGTTAGAGCTGTGGAGTCAGGGTGTTAGAGGAGTCAGGGTGTTGGAGGAGTCAGGGTGTTAGAGGAGTCAGGGTGTTGGAGGAGTCAGGGTGTTAGAGGAGTCAGGGTGTTAGAGGAGTCAGGGTGTTAGAGGAGTCAGGGTGTTAGAGGAGTCAGGGTGTTGGAGGAGTCAGGGTGTTAGAGCTGTGGAGTCAGTGTGTTAGAGCTGTGGAGTCGGGTGTTAGAGGAGTCAGGGTGTTAGAGCAGTCAGGGTGTTGGAGGAGTCAGGGTGTCAGAGGAGTCAGGGTGTTGGAGGAGTCAGGGTGTTGGAGGAGTCAGGGTGTTAGAGCTGTGGAGTCAGGTGTTAGAGGAGTCAGGATGTTAGAGCTGTGGAGTCAGGGTGTTAGAGGAGTCGGGGTGTTAGAGCTGTGGAGTCAGTGTGTTAGAGCTGTGGAGTCAGGTGTTAGAGGAGTCAGGGTGTTAGAGGAGTCAGGGTGTTAGAGGAGTCAGGATGTTAGAGGAGTCAGGGTGTTAGAGGAGTCAGGGTGTTAGAGGAGTCAGGGTGTTGGAGGAGTCAGGGTGTTGGAGGAGTCAGGGTGTTAGAGCTGTGGAGTCAGTGTGTTAGAGGAGTCAGGGTGTTGGAGGAGTCAGGATGTTAGAGCTGTGGAGTCAGGGTGTTAGAGGAGTCGGGGTGTTAGAGCTGTGGAGTCAGGGTGTTAGAGGAGTCAGGGTGTTAGAGGAGTCAGGGTGTTAGAGGAGTCAGGGTGTTAGAGGAGTCAGGATGTTAGAGCTGTGGAGTCAGGGTGTTAGAGGAGTCGGGGTGTTAGAGCTGTGGAGTCAGGGTGTTAGAGGAGTCAGGGTGTTAGAGGAGTCAGGGTGTTAGAGCTGTGGAGTCAGGGTGTTAGAGGAGTCAGGGTGTTAGAGGAGTCGGGGTGTTAGAGCTGTGGAGTCAGGGTGTTAAAGGAGTCAGGGTGTTAGAGGAGTCAGGGTGTTAGAACTGTGGAGTCAGGGTGTTAGAGGAGTCAGGGTGTTAGAGTTGTGGAAGCTGTGGAGTCAGGGTGTTAGAGGAGTCAAGGTGTTAGAGGAGTCAGGGTGTTAGAGGAGTCAGGGTGTTAGAGCTGTGGAGTCAGGTTTTAGAGATGTGGAGTCAGGGTGTTAGAGCTGTTGAGTCAGGTGTTAGAGTTGTGGAGTCAGGTGTTAGAGGAGTCAAGGTGTTAGAGGAGTCAGGGTGTTAGAGGAGTCAGGGTGTTAGAGCTGTGGAGTCAGGTGTTAGAGCTGTGGAGTCAGGGTGTTAGAGCTGTGGAGTCAGGGTGTTAGAGGAGTCAGGGTGTTAGATGTATGAAGTCAGGGTGTGGAGTCAGGGTGTTAGAGGAGTCAGGGTGTTAGAGGAGTCAGAGTGTTAGATGTGTGGAGTCAGGGTGTTACAGTTGTGGAGTCAGGTGTTAGAGTTGTGGAGTCAGGGTGTTAGAGCTGTGGAGTCAGGGTGTTAGATGTGTGGAGTCAGGGTGTGGAGTCAGGATGTTAGAGCTGTGGAGTCAGGATGTTAGAGATGTGGAGTCAGGGTGTTAGAGGAGTCAGGGTGTTAGAGCTGTGGAGTCAGGGTGTTAGATGTGTGGAGTCAGGGTGTGGAGTCAGGGTGTTAGATGTGTGGAGTCAGGGTGTTAGATGTGTGGAGTCAGGTTGTTAGATGTGTGGAGTCAGGGTGTTAGATGTGTGGAGTCATGTGTTAGAGCCGTGGAGTCAGAGATGACAACAAAAGTGGTCCTATTGTTAGTGGTCCTGTTAGTGGCACGCGCCCACACGTGACCCACCCACCCACCCACCAAGAGGATGAACTTACTTTGAACATGAACGACGAATCTTTGTTCAGGAAGTGACGTGTCAGCGAGCCAGTGGCCGGGATGTTGATGAAGACAGTCGTCTTGGTTTCTGTGGTTACGATGACGCCGTTCTGACTCGCGTTGCCGAGAGTGGGGATGAAGGAGAGCAGGAATGCTCGCCCCTTGCTGTTGTCTACATTCGCTGGACGAGAGACTGCTGGGTGGGACACAAGACATTGGGCGAAGGTCAAACTCAAGGTCACACTTGTTTCCTATATTGCTTTAATCCATCGTTCATTTTTAAAAATATTTTTAAATTGCTTCAGACTGAAGAGCTTATGAAAAAAAGTGCTTAGATGAAAAAAAAAAGAACTAAAAGAAGGAACACCGCTATCTAGTCTTACATTAATTAACTGCCTATAATTGTGCAACTTTACTTTAAATCTTTACTTGACAGATACAATAAATGTTTAGTAGTTTACCACTTTACATGATTCTACTCTAGTTTCATAAAGTTTATGCGACAAACTAGTTGGCAGTTACATTGGCTGTATCTTTTACTTTACAAAACAATTGACAGATATTCTGACTGTATCTTTTAGTTTAAAAAACAATTGAAAGCTATTTTGACTTACCTTGAAAGAAAAAGCAAGAAAATGAAATAAAAACAAACGAGAAATAAGATAACTCCATTCTGACTGTACACTTTATACAGTATGTTTGCCGAGTGACGTCCCTTTAATGTGTCCATGATAACTGATGATCCAATGTAGAGAACAGGGGCGGAACTACAGTGCCGCCAGATCCCGCAATGCGGGGGGGGGGGGGGGCACGCCGTTTAGGGGGCCCACAGCCGCCCATAATCATTTTTTTAAAGTTAAAATTAATTTTCTTGCATTTTTGACTTGATGGTTGTTTTGAAAAAAGAATACTGTAGCTGCAGTTGGAGTATCTTTATTCTATAGACACCATCCCACTCTCTTGTATATTCTTTTTCCTACAATCAAACACACGCTGTTGTCGGCAAATTTCTTTTGAAAAAACATCAATTGCGCGAGAGGCCGCTAGATATTAAGACGGCTTTTTGAGACCATCCCAAATTTGGTACTGATGGATAAAAGCACATCGGTGCTTTGTTTTCCCTTTTAAGTTCCTTTTCAGACCTCCCCTCCCGCTCTTAGCCTTACAAGAAGCGAATAAATAGCGCCTCAACAACTAAGCTGGCTCGTATCAGTGGTAGTGTAGACAAACTAGCGCTCCAACAACTAATATCCAAGAAATAAAGTGCCGACATTGTTTACATTTAATAACCACTGTACTAGAAAACAAGGCAAACGTCTCAAATAAATACACGAATGATAGCGTGTTATATATATATATATATATATATATATATATATAAATATATATATATATATATATATATATATATATATATATATATATATATATATATATATATTAGTTTCGTCACTGGCATCTTGATAGTGGTTTTGTAAATAACATACAGATAACAGATATAATACAGTAGTGATATTATATAGATAGTAGCTAAGACATGCTGTTGTGTAAAAAAAAATTTAAAAAAATATACACATGAGCTGTAGTGTGAAAGATAGGCAAACGTTCAAACCACTTCCATAAAGTATTTCCCTTTTACAAATAGCCAAATAGGGGTGCTCATAAGCTCTTTTTAATAGATTTGTAATAATCAAATTAAACAGCAATTTCTTATCTTAATTATTATTTAAAAAAAAATAAGTACTAAAGAATGGTATAGTATAATAATGAAATGTAGTTAAAACTAATAATATAAATACAAAAAAAAATAAAATAAACACGAGACACCATTCTTATACAAAGCTTTATGATTTATATACTTTTGACCGACTTAATTATTAAAAGTATTAAGGCAAACATAAATGAAAACAGAGATTTTCAAAACAGACCAATGCACTCATACACATGACATGTTGTTGTTATTAAATGTAATTGAATTTTTTTTTTCAAAACGCGATCAGGCCAGAAATTAGTATCCTATGTTCTTATTGTGTGTTTATATATATATATATATATATATATATATATATATATATATATATATATATATATATATATATATATATATATGGGGGGCCCAACATTTTTTTTTTTGCGGGGAGGCCCATTTTTTCTAGTTCCGCCACTGGTAGAGAATGGTACACTTGGGGGGGGGGGGGGGGGGGGGATGCGTAAAATCGGAAATGTGGTTGATCTTAAATGAATTGTATACAAGTGATAGTAAATGAAGGTTTTGTCATAAAATAGAAATAGTTTGTCACTAAACGTGAATAGTTTAACTGTTGTTTTGTTAATAAATAGTTGACAGTGAAACGTCGTGGCCCCACCCCTGAGGATTACAGCTTGACTTGAAGAGATGTGGCCCCGCCCCTGATAATTATGCTGTGTCCACGCCCCTGATGATTACCGCTGGACTAGCCTGAATGATTGTTGTTTGAACTGCCGCTAAACAAACGACGAGCTAGGCCCCAGGCTGGACATTATTCTTACGGGGGGGGGGGGGGGGGGAAGGGTACGGCTAAAAAACAAGAGGGTACAAAAATTGTCCCTCCCCCCACCTTTTTTGGAGTTTGACGTCATTTATGGAACACCACATTTAAAAAATGATAAGATTAGTTCAAAACTTTTGGTACACAACACCGTCAGCCTGTGATATCTTGTTCCAGGTAAATGGTGGTTGTTGGTATCTGTGGGGTGGGGAGTGGGGGGGGGGGGGTAGGCTTCTGAAGTAATTCATCAGTTTCTCCAGGTAAATGGTGGCTGTTAGTATTTGTGGGGGTGGGGGGTAGGCTCCTGAAGTAATTCATCACTTTCTCCAGGTAAATGGTGGCTGTTAGTATTTGTGGGGGTGGGGGGTGTAGGCTCCTGAAGTTATCCATCAGATTCTCCAGGTGGCTGTTAGTATTTGTGGGGGTGGGAGTGGGGTGTAAGCTCCTGAAGTAATTCATCAGTTTCCTCTGTGTGACCTGCCACTCTGTCAGGTGCTAATTGCTTTCCACCCGGCCTTGTTTATTTAATAAAATCAACTGTCCAATTAGCCTCATTTTGACAAGAGTATAGCTTTTTTCTTTTAGTTTAGCCTCCATTGTGTACCTGTACCGTGCCAGTAATACTGGTAGAGCCTTTTTATTTTCTTAAAAAATATCTAGTTTTACACTAGTTGAGTTGATATTTAATTAATTCATTGCTATTAAAAACTAATGTACATTAACTTTTCACTCAGGTGAAACTAGATTAAAACACATTCAAATGGCTTGGTAAACCAGAATAGGAAACACATTTTAATAATATTGAGCAAACATAAAAATCAATTTTACAAAAGCCAAGGCTATGATATTTACAAATCAGCAGTAAGTAACATCAGTTAAAACTACATCTTCATTATTCTGCAGTCATTTTGTAGCACCACTGTCTTGTCAGTCATTTTGTAGCACCACTGTCTTATCAGTCATTTTGTAGCATCACTGTCTTGTCAGTCATTTTGTAGTGGGACTGTCTTATCAGTCATCCAAAATTATAAAATTCAGCATCACTTTTACATTGGAGAATTTAATGCATTGTTTATACATATAAAGATATCAAAATCATTTTCTTTAATCACATAACTATATGCATCCCACTTTTACATTTTTATGAAACATTTACCTTGGATAAGTATATCACCCCTTTCTTGTTCCCCAGTATCAAGCACACCTCATATCACACCCCCATATAACAGACACACCCCATATCAACCCCCCAGTATCAGACCACACCCCTATCCTACACCCCCCTAGTATCAGACCCACCCCAATATCCCACAGCTCCTCAAGAAGTCTTTACATCAAGACTAGAAACTTCACTGGCCAGACCTAAAAAAGAATGATGTCATCATAAGTTTTGTAGCATAAAAAAGTTGATGGCAACAATCATATCACCATCAGTTTTACAGCATTAAAAATTGATGACAACAATATCACTACCAGTTTCATAACGTTAAAAAATTTTAAAATTGATAAAACAATGATGTCACTACCAGTTTCATAACATTAAAAAAATTAATGAATACATTGATATTGTCTTACCACACACATTCCCACCATATTTAACATAAACGTAGCCTTTATCACCAAAGTTAGAGCCCCATGAGTTTCGAATGATGTAGTAAGGGACATCACCTACAATATCATGTTCAAACATTTTTAGAATAATCTAGTAAGGACATCACCTACAATATCATGTTCAAACATTTTTAGAATAATGTAGTAAGAAACATCGCCTACAATATCATGTTCAAACATTTTTAGAATAATGTAGTAAGAAACATCACCTACAATATCATGTTCAAACATTTTTAGAATAATGTAGTAAGGACATCACCTACAATATAATGTTCAAACATTTTTAGAATAATGTAGTAAGGACATCACCTACAATATAATGTTCAAACATTTTAAGAATAATCCAGTATGGAACATCAACTACAATATAATGTTCAAACATTTTTAGAATAATGTAGTAAGGGACATCACCTACAATATTATGTTCAAATATTTTTACCATTAGGTAGTATGCTACATTCTATACAGAAGGCATTTGTGAATTATTACAAACACTGAACTTGTCATTTTACCATTTTCTCTAAGATTTGAGTGAGAATTATTATTAATGCAGTTTACACATTCTTCTATTTGATGTATCAAGGTTAATCACAAGATTTAAAACATGACATAGGCTAATGTTAACTAACAGTATTATTATGAAAGTTGAACTGGATAATTCTTGCAACATTTAGCTGTAAAAGTAAACTCATGATCAGAGGATGAGATGGTGAATTGGATCTAACGTCCTTTCACAAAGTGTAGACTACCTTCAGAAACCCCAATGTGCCACCCACCTGTTAAATCATACCCAACAATCTGGACTGCGTGGTTGATGTTCTGTGAACACCGATGTGACACCCACCTGTTAAATCATACCCAACAATCTGGACTGCGTGGTTGATATTCTGTGAACACCGATGTGACACCCACCTGTTAAATCATACCCAACAATCTGGACTGCATGGTTGATGTTCTGTGAACACCGATGTGACACCCACCTGTTAAATCATACCCAACAATCTGGACTGCATGGTTGATATTCTGTGAACACCAATGTGCCACCCACCTGTTAAATCATACCCAACAATCTGGACTGCATGGTTGATGTTCTGTGAACACCGATGTGATACCCACCTGTTAAATCATACCCAACAATCTGGACTGCGTGGTTGATATTCTGTGAACAATGAAACTGGATGATCCCCCCGATGTAGTTGTGCCATGTTGTTGCGTCTACAGACACAGCCACTGGTCCATGATTCGCAAGGAGGTCAAGGATTTTCGTTTCTTGGTTGACATAGCTACACAATAATTTTTTTTTAATCAGATCATTTTTAAAACAAAATAACTTTAAGAACAAAACCACTAAGACAGAGGACAAAGAGAGGACAAAACCACTAAGACAGAACAAAACCACTCAGACAGAGGACAAAGAGAGGACAAAACCACTAAGACAGGACAAAACCACTAAGACAGAGGACAAAGACAGGACAAAACCACTCAGACAGCGAACAAAACCACTAAGACAGAACAAAACCACTCAGACAGAGGACAAAACCAATCAGACAGGACAAAACCACTCAGAGGACAAAACCACAAGACAGAGGACAAAGACAGGACAAAACCACTCAGACAGCGAACAAAACCACTAAGACAGAACAAAACCACTCAGACAGAGGACAAAACCAATCAGACAGGACAAAACCACTCAGAGGACAAAACCACTCAGAGGACAAAGACAGGACAAAACCACTCAGACAGAGGACAAAACCACTCAGACAGGACAAAACCACTCAGACAGGACAAAACCACTCAGACAAAACCACCAGCAACTAAAACACTGAACAATGAGATGAGGGAACACTTCCTACTGGTAAGATGAACACGACTTGAGGTGGACACGTTTAGCAGATGGCTCAAGTTGTTTGCAGGTTTCTGTTTTGTCTTTCAAAGGGTAGTCCTCTTCATAGGCCACTCCATTCTAAATGTGAGGAGAATGTAATGCTCTATACAACTTGTGCAGAGAAAGTAATGCCCTATACAACTTGTGCAGAGAAAGTAATGCCCTATACAACTTGTGTAGAGAAAGTAATGCCCTATACAACTTGAGCAGAGAATGTAATGCCCTATACAACATTATGTAGATATAGCTATAACTACTCCCTTTTAAATTTAAGGAAAATATCATGCCGTACATAACATTTTGTAGGAAAAGATGCAATCAGATATGTATAAAAATTAATGTTTTTATCTTGACTATCATGTGTAACAGTAAAGTTTGTGAAGTTACATTGTAAGCCCAGATACAAGCGCTAGTAATGTCCCCCCCAGAGCATCCTTGGTTGGTGAAATCACAGTCTATAAGCTCCTGTACACTTAGGTGGGGAGGCATGGATCTGTTCTGTATGGCAAACATACTTTCAATGGTCTCTACTGTACTGAAAGCCCTGAGAAATTGAAACAAAATTAAATTTGAATAAGAAATTTAAAAAACCCATTGGATATATTATCCTATGCTGCAACTGCAGTCATCAAATTCTAACCCAAAAGCAGATGACAAGTGTGGCTTATTTGGACATTATCTGTATTACATTAGATTGTAAGGATGATCTGAGCACTGAAATATCTCGCTATCTCATACTAAAAACTAGTGGGGTTATAAACATTACTACCACTTTAAGAGTTGGATCATTTCTTTTGCTTGTTCACTGAGGAAAACATTGTATGGTTCAGTAGAATAGTACTGACAAATAAATAGACAGAAGAGTGAAGATGAAAGAATGGTGGTAATATACAAATAAAGATGGTGGGTTAATCAGTGGGTTTATGAGTGGCATCTTAAACAAGAATCACAGTAAAAGAGATATCAAAGAATTTCTATTCCAAAATAAAAAAGTTTAAACCTTTTACAAATTTAGAAGTAGATGCAAAAACAATTTTTTCCATTCTAAATTGTATTTCAAAAATAAAAAACAAAAGTGTTACCAATGATTGAAGGTCTATTGTATTACAAAAAAAGTAACTGACAGACATTTACAAAACGACTTGTCCGACCATAACACACAAACACTGACCAGCAAGCTCCGCACGTCTCCTGGTCCAGTACAGGGTTGACAACATGTTTGTCCCTCCTGTAAAACAACGCTATAAATATTTTTGCTCAGCTTTTGTTGATTTATGAAATATTGGTCAAAATAAGTTTTTTTTGTTAAGCTTTTAAAGTAAAGATATTTGTGCACTCATTAACATATTATTGTTAAAATAAATCTATGTATGCACATGGTCTAATATGTGTGTCTTTAAAAAGAATGTTTAATAATAAGATATTGTACATAAGTTGCTAAATTTAAAAAAAAAACTTAGTACTATAAGTTTCCAATATTACAGTAGGCTTGCACATTCATTTTAATTAATTTTTTCTATGACTTACCAATCCACCTTTGAGGGTAAATTCAATTTTTGGTGGCTTTCATTGTGATGAAAAGATAACGACGTGGTATTTTGCCACGCTTTCTGATGCTTGTTTTGCTTCAATCCTGATAGGTACATTTCTTTAAATATTTGAAAATTAAGACTGATTAGATTACATATTGGTATGCATTTATTTATAGCTGCTGCAAGTTTTATTTCAAAGAAGTGAGATATTACAAACAATATAGGGCCTAAATTTAAATATGTGATTTTTAAACATATAAGAGATTCATATAAAATAAAGAAGATATTAACTTGTAAACTCTTCTGGAGTTAAGTCAGAAAACTTGTTGACACCATAGACTAGATAACTGTCATTCATATATGCTTTGTTGAGTTGAATAGCTCTTGCAACATTCTCCTAAAATTAATAAACAATAATGAATAATTAAATATTATTTTTACAACTAACCCTTCTGCTTTATCATGTGCTCATGGGGTAAATTACATAGGCTAAGTTTCAAACTATAAAACAACATCACAAGATAATATTTATTATTAGTATAAGGTATACTTAGGAAATTAGGGTCTATTATTATTGAAATTAAAATAATTATAATTAATTTAATAGTGGCATGACATAGTCCTACAGCCGATGATGATAGACTACATCAACTCCCTGACCTTAAGTTTAACTATTATTAATAACTAGGCTTAGGCCCTAATAGTAATAATATATTATTTATTATTAGGTGGGCCTATAGGCCTATATGTTATATAATTATAACCAAGGCCTAAACAAATAAACGTTTTACTATAGTTCAAGTACCGTCACAACATATTTAGTTAAGTACTACAATACGAGTAGGCCCAAATTCATTGTATTAATAATAACTAATAAATCTATCGAAGTGACTACTCGGAAGAAGATTTTTCTCCCCAACGTCTCCACTTAGTCGGCAAAAGATAGCTCTGCGCATGCGCAGTGACCTATGGCTAAGGTTAGGGCTAGAATGAGGGTTAGGGGTAGGATTAGGGTTGGGGTTAGGGTTAGTGATAGGATTAGGGCTAGGGTTAGGGATAGGATTAGAGCTAGGGTTAGGAATAGGATTAGGGATAGGGTTAGGGATAGGAATAGGGTTGGTGTTATGGTTCTGCGGTTGTAAACACACGCATGCGCATTACCATCAAAAACATCGCCGCGAAGGCAAGTCATAGTTTCTCTCCATTGCGCATGCCTATCGCATGCGTATCTTATTCCGGCTAGCATCAGCCTAAATCTATATATAATATATATAATTCTCTTCTTGGAGACCCTAGAAAACACCAAGCTGCAAGTGCGCCTAGCAGTCCACTCTCTTCCTCTCTCGGCATAGCATATCGCTACCACCCCCATCCCCACATGTGACATGGTATGTTGAGCTGTGGTTCACGCTAAATGTTTACAATCGTAGAGCCGGGTTTAGTGACGGCTATTAGGGGCAGATAATTTAGTTTGAAACGATTTTAAACTTAGGGGAGGTAACTAAGAGGAAGCTGTTTTCACAAGGGGGGTAGGGGGAAAAGAGGGTTTTAGTGTTTTAAAGCAAACGAGCTGACCCGCTGCGTATCATACGCCGCTATTTAGTTGTTTTTTTTTCTACTTTTCAGTAATTTATAATTTGTGAACTCGACAGTACCAATGCTGCCATTGAAAATATTTGCTTAAAAACACTAGCCCCCCCCCCCCCCCCCCCCTACGTGAAAGCAGCCTCCTCTTAGTTACCTCCTCTAAGTTTAAAATCGTTTCAAACTAAATTATCTGCCCCTAATAGCCGTCACCAAACCCGTCTCTATGATTGTAAAATGTAAACAGAGTGAACACCGCTCACAGATCATGTGGGGGTGGGGTGGGGGTGGTAGTGATAGCAAAGATACAGACCTTCATGAATAGATGCCTTAGACAGATACTGAAACTGAGATGGCAGGACAAAGTGCCGAACTTGGAGCTATGGAGGAAAGCTAGGCAGGAGCCTATAGGTGTGCAAATAAGAAGGAAGAAGTGGCGCTGGGTGGGTCACACACTGCAAAGGGCTCACACAAATGTTACACGCCAAGCGCTTGAGTGGAACCCCCAGGGAAAGCGGAAGAGAGGGCGCCCAAGACAGACCTGGAGGCGGAGTCTTCTTGAAGAACTGAAGCCAATAGGGATGTCTTGGGAGATGTCAAAATTAATAGCCGAGGATAGGAAGAAATGGAAGGAAATGGTGGAGGCCCTATGCTCCATAAGGAGCAAAGAGGACTAAGTCAAGACTAGCCCCCCCCCCCCCCCCCTACGTGAAAGCAGCCTCCTCTTAGTTGCCTCCTCTAAGTTTAAAATCATTTCAAACTAAATTATCTGCCCCTAATAGCCGTCACCAAACCCGTCTCTATGATTGTAAAATGTAAACAGAGTGAACACAGCTCACAGATCATGTGGGGGTGGGGTGGGGGTGGTAGTGATAGTGATAGAGAGGAAGAGAGGGGACTGCAAAGGCGCGCTTGCAGCTTGTTTTCTAACTGATCCCAGAAGAGAATTATATATAACGAGCCGGCCCGCGGCATAACATACGCCGCTATTTAGTTGTTTCTAATTTTCAATAATTCATAATTTGTGAATTCGACAGTACCAACGCTGACACTGAAAATATTTCTTTAAAACACTATAAGTAGCTCGTTAAGGACCATAACCCCCCCCCCCTTCCTTCCCTCCCCCCCTCCTCCCCCCCCCCTACGTTTAAAATCGTTGGCTCTGCTTGTAAACATTTAGAGTGAACACAGCTCACTAAAACCATGTAGGGGTGGGGAGGTAGGGAGAGCGTTTGCAGCTTGTTTTCTAACGGCTCGAAGAAGAGAATTATATATATAATATATATATAGATATATATAGATATTTTCAGTGGCAGCATTGGTACTGTCGAATTCACACATTATGAATTACTGACTGAAAAGTAGAAAAAACAACAACTAAAATAGCGGCGTATGATACGTCGCGGGTCGGCTCGTATTAAATAATAATTTTACCTTGAAAGTTTCAAAACGAAAGATTAATTCCGAAGAATTCTTTGGGTTTAAAAAATAAGTCTTGTTGTGTGAGATGGCAAAATTGATAAATTGTTTGTATAACACATCTTCGGAGAATGCGTACGATTCTATACTCAAGCATGATACAGAAATTGCCAGCATCAGTAGTAGAACCATTGTCGTTTTTAATGTGGAAAATTGTTTTGGTTGGTAAAACCGAAAGTAGGAAGTATCGACCACCATTTTGAACGACAAGATCATGTGACTAGAAAACAGCGGGTAAGTAAATAAGCGAAACACTACACAACCCGGGCTTTTTTTTTTTCTGCTCGTTATTTTGGGTTAAAATTATTCAAGCTTCCATTTACAGTTGCTCTGGTAGATTGAAATAGAAGTATGTTGATAATAAAATAAAATAAATATTTTTAAGTTGTAGGTTATAGACTAGTAGTTAAAGCGAATCCCCCCTCCCCACTTAATTAGTTTAAAAGCTTGTCCGTGAGTTGACTTGTCCCACCCTATTCACATCAACACCGAATCACGTCAGTCGACAAGGCCTTACCTTTTGTTTAACGTCCAGAGTTTCTTTCAGACAACGTTTCATGGAAACATTCATCTCAATCTTGCTCAAGCATAAGCATATCTTTGTGAAATCCAACACGGCTGTTGTCTGGATTTAAGCTCTCACGCTAATTAAGGTCGTTAAGTCCAAAGGAAAAACATTTATTTGGAATTTTCGACGCAAGAATAAAAAATAAACAGTACCATTTATTTAGTTCCAGAAGTAATTTGTGACATTAAAATTACAAGAAATATACCTAATGGAAGACATTGATGAGAGTATGCCTACATATAGGCCTACTTTGACATGACTAAGTTAATGTGTTGATATTATGTTGTTGTTTCTTTTTTATTTCAATAAAGGCAATTAAGAAATTATGTTCTGTTTTGTACTATTTAATTTGATCAAGAAGATTATTCCAAAATGTTTTTGTTGGGTAACTGGAAACGACGGATTCAGCTTTTACGAATATTACAATTATTTAGCGCAATTTCCATACTGGGATTGCGATTATTTTTAAATGCAGGAATGCTTTTGGTAGTAGATCTATAAGGATAAGGTGATTCAGCAACGTTTTTGGTTTTTTTTTGGGTATTTTTTTGTATTGTTAAGATCGGATTTTTTATTTTTGGTGATTATGTAATAATTATTATGCACATGGCGTAACTGCCAACATAGTTACGCCGATGTGGACACATTAATAACAACTCCTTTGTCTAGAGAAGTATGCCAAGTAAACCTAATTACAAATTAAGTTTTCCACTAGGAAATTGCGCAGGCAAATATAACATTTTAACTGCTGAGTTATAGAACTAAAAATGCGAGATTAGGCCTATAAATTAAAGATTATTTATACTAGATTCAATGTTATTTTTTGGTTTAGGCTACGAACTTATGATACAATATAATTAATTAACTAGCTGCGCGATATTTAAAATTAATCATGTCATAGATATATTGTTACATAAGTGTCGCACTCATGATTGATTAGCGCTTTTTTTGTAAGCATTCGTCTTTTAGCGATTACTTTAGGATTCCCAAGTCATGTGACCATTTTATTTTTAATAGTATTTCTAGATAGAGTCTAGAGATCTATATATTTTCATTAGGCGTAGCTGTGTAACTCAGATTCAGTAAGTGAGAATATATATTATATACTGTTCTAAGTTCTAGTCTTAGACTAGATCTATAAGATCGACATGTTTTTGTTTTTATTTTAATCTTTACGAGAGATTCAGTTTTGGTAATTTTCTACTTCTAGATCTTCTTAAAATAAATGTCTTAATCATTAATCTTAAATCTTATCATCGGTAATCTATCGTTTTAGGTACGTAAAATCGCCCGCGACTAGTAATGTGAAAAACAGGTGACTCCTTAAATTTTAATAATTATATAACATTTTGAAGAGGATTTATGTTTTGAAAAATACAAAATTGTTTCCTTGTTTCATTTATGTAGCCTACCTGTTTTTAATAAAATTGTTTAAAAATAGGTACATTTAAAAACGAATTTCCCTTCGTGCGCAAAAGAAAAAAAAGACTGACAAAAATGAATTCCCCTTCATGCTCCAAAAAAGACACAAATAATAACCTGCGGGAATTCCTGTTCCCGAATAAAGATGTCTTTTGTTACTTCAGCTGTCTTTGATTAAAAATAATTAGAAGAAAACAGTATGTTCTGTGTAAAGTCATGTAAATTTTTTTTCCCAACACCAAAACAAAGTTATAAAAAGTACATTTTTTTCCTCCCGATGCAATGTTTTTTTTTATAAAGGGAAGTAATTGTGTTTTCCTAATTTATCAAAGGATAAAAGGAGTGCTAAAGAACTAAATGTAAATAATTATAGTTTTTGTGAAAGTGATACATTTTTAAACATTTTGTTTGATGCACATGCGAACAATTATTACCATAAGTTTGAAAAATGAAAATTGTTTTACAACACCTTTAATATTAATTTTTTAAATGATGAATTTAGACGATGAGCACTTTAGACTTTGGAATCCTCGGTTTGCCCGTCCGCTGTCCGCCACATACAGAATTGAACTATATATATTATATTATATATGCCTAGCCTTAATCTACTTTCTAATATTCTTTGACTATTATTAGCCTTATAGGTACCCTATTAAAATATTAAACTTATTAGGCCTAAGTTCCCTAAATGGTAAATAGCCTGTAAAAAAAAGGGTCCCATCTGCAGACTCCTGTCATTTGGGTTCTAGTGGTTATACTACTCATGATGATAACATTGAACATGGTTTGATAAAATGACTGTTGAGGTGGATCTAACCAATGACAACAATTAGTCTGGTTTGATAAAATGGCTGTTGAGGTGGATCTAAATCTAACCAAATTAAATCACACCCCACTCTGATTGTTAATTATTTTTGTTGTAGTTGTATTTATTTAATTTTAATTCCAGGCTGAAATTGAAGAAATAAATGGATGCGTAAAGGAAGAAAATAATAAAAATGGCCGAGGCAAAAGAAACAACACATTTGCTGTCACAAAGCCCACCCCATGAGCTGGAAAGTCATAGAAAGAGCTCATCAGCGGACAGTAGAGATGACCACACCCCTACAACACTGTCAAGGTCATCTAAAGATAGCCCCATCAATGCATCCGATCAAGACTGCATAACAGTGGTCCCTGAAGGGGGGATTGTTGAGGATGCTGAGGAGGGTTTCAACAGCTACCAAAAGACAAAAAATGACAACTTTTTAATCTCAGACAGGTCTATGGTTGAAAGCACTACCAGGTACTTGGACATCTAGCCTTAAACTAGTCATTTTTCTAGTGTAATGATCTGAGTAACAGCACTTATTTTACTGTGTTGGTTGAATTTAATTTTTCCACCACCTTTTGACATAGATTTCTTTGACACTGTTGTGTACAGATAGTCTACTTGTTTCACTCAGGCTCACAGTGGACCAGATTTGATACGAAATACCTAATTAGACTACAATCATGTTTTTGCTATAATACAAACATATCTAACTGAATCTATGAGCAAAAATAGTTAATCTTTTAAACCAGTTTGCTTAGAATACATTTCCTTTTTTTTAAAGAAAAAATATAGAGAAAATTGTAACACCAGAAAAATGTGTAGAAATTTTATAAAACAAGTTTTTATGTACTGAATGCCCCACTGTATTCTTATTGTTTGTTTTAGCAATATGCAGACATTGATGCATCTTTTGAAGGGTAATATTGGAACTGGTATTTTAGCCTTACCCATGGCTATCAAGCATGCTGGGTTATGGGTGAGTGATTTCACTTATCATTTCTATAAATAAACCAACTGGTTTAGTGAGTGTCTTGCCACATTTAAAAAGTCAGAAATTTAAAAAAAAAGCCTGTTTGGGGTAGTAATTCATTTTACATCATTTGAGAAATAACTTGAGATCAATGTGCTGAGGAAAATTTTATTTCAGTTTTCTTGTGACAGTTTGTTTGTGTTGAATAATAACTTTCTTGACAGACAGATTGTTAACTGTGTTGTGGCTGATGTATTTTGTTGTGGAGGTGTATACATTTGTCAAACTACCATTAGATGTATGTGTACACTTGTCCAAGTACCACTAGACATGTGGATACACTTGTCAAAGTACCATTACACATGAATGCTTGTCAGTATCCGTACACTTGTACACTTGTCAAAGTACCAGTTCTTGTGTATACTTATCAAAGTACTAAAACAAAATTTGATAAGTGACCAATAAAATGTTGATGACTGATAAAACCTTACTAAGTGTTGTCACTGTGGTCTGTCTTGTGTATTTTTCCCAAGTAAAAATCTGAAATTTGTAAAGTACTGTGTTAATAAACACCTAATAACTACATCTTCAGTATGGATATGTTCAAACACCTCAGGCCACACAACAGTCTGTCAGTGTTAGATATTGAAAACTTGGGATTTGTAAAACATGGTGGTTTTGTTTTCTATCCAGAGAATCTGTTGCTTAACTTAAAACATTTTGAACTTGTTCCCCATCTTCAGTGACTGCAAATATCTACTCACACGTTGTCCTTACATTGTTTATTTTGACTGCCTTACATCTATTACAAATTTTAAAATTGAAACCATCTTCTCTTTATTTTTTTTCATTTCTAAAAGTGGTTGCTTGGTTATAAAGAAGATTGTGAAATATTAGTTGTTTAGATTTCATAGGTGAAATAAACCAATCAGACCCAGGGAAACTATTCAACAGTTGGAATGAAGTCACCTAGACTTCAACTATGAGTTATGAAACTATAGTGTTCAGTGCAGGGATACTGGTATTATGATTAGATATCACATCAGTCACTACGAATTTGGAATGTCATGTGTTAGGAATGTGTAATGTGGGCTCAGATAACCCACAATCTGTGACCTTGATATTAACACACCTCTGACTAATGAACTATCAATAGTTTCCAGGTCGGAAACACTTTTATTTTATCATCAAAGTTCACTGAAATTTTTATCCCAATTAATGATGTCATTTTTCTCTTCCACTTTGCTTTGTCCTTGCATGACAGATGTCATAGTGACCAAATGACAGATGTCATAGTGACCAAATGACAGATGTCATAGTGAACACATCATGGATTTCATAGTGACCACATGACATGTTATAGTGACAGATGTCATAATGACCCTATGTTATGTTATAGTGACCCCATGACAGATGTCATAATGACCACATGACAGATGTCATAGTGACCCCTTGACTTGTTATAGTGACCACATGACTAGGTACTTGTGGTCTTAATTTGTTACACATGTCATTGTGTTTGTTAACATTTCTTTCCACAACTTATCTATTTTTTAAAACTATCAATCCCTGTTCTTAGGTGGTAGGAAAATAACTCCATGTTTATTAGAGCTGGACATCATTAGTCAAGTCTCTCTGGCAAGTCACTCTTGTGTCAGCTGCTTGCATTACAAGTGAGCAAAGGGAGTTACCTCTGTACACTAAGGCCCTGTAGATATTTTAAAATGTCGAACCTACCAGATGTTTCTATCCACTCAGCCTAGCTAAGCTGGTGGCCAAGTGTAATAGCGACACACCTGTTCACTGATGACTAGTTTTTATCAATTCACCATCTCTTTGTACTGGGCTTTGTCATCTATTTTTATTCATCAGTTTTAACTGAAACACTAAAAGATGATTCCCTTTAAAAAAGTAACGAAGCCAAATGTAGCCACAACATATTAGTTGGCTGGTTCACTTACTTGACCTTTACCCTTTGATCTCTATAAACTTTCCTCAACACCTCCTTTCCTCTTCATCAGCATCATAAAGGTGTTCATTTTATACATTCTTATGTACAGAGTATATAGGAAGTATTGTAATCGTGCTAAATAATTAACAAATATTTTGACAGTTTTCACTGTTTTATACCTGCCTACTTAAATGTATACGTAATATAAAGATTTTGACCTCTAAATTGAGATTTTGACTAATTTGGACGTTTTACAATCTTCCAGAGCAGAAAAACTTAGTTTTGCAACCCTGTCCATCTGTGTGTGAGTGTGTGTATATATAAACACGATACCTTGAGTACCGTTTCACTTTGGTTGATCCAAGTTCATGCATAATTGTTATAATTTTATATTATAGTTTTCTATCAACTTTTGAGCAATTTCCAGTTACCGGAAGTGGTATTTAATCCATGTATGGTTTTTCAAAAGAGTTCTCTCAACTTTTGAACAATTTATGCTAAACTGAAGTAGTAATTTACTCTATTCTGTGGGAAAATGATAACTTGAGTTCTGTTTTGGCTAGGTAGATGAAATTTCAAATATAAGTGTAAGATCTTTTACTTGGATAATTTTCAATTTTTTTGTGACCTCTGATAACTGGGTTAGGTTAGGTGGACAAACTTTCATACAGAGGTAGATCTATAAGATCTTATGTTTTTTATTCTCTCAAAATATGTCACTTCTACCTGACCGATTTGTTTCAAACTTAAAGGTCAAAAATCGATGACAATGCACATTGACATAAAATGTGACTTAATTAGATGGTTAATTCATTTTAAAAAATTAATGTCTCCTTTATAAAGTACTAATCTTCTGCTCTATATTTTGCACACATTATTTGTATTCATTTTGGTGTGAAATTATTTTCTCTATTCGATTCTATTCTATTTAAAAAAACTTAAAAGTGCCATCCCCATTGTTGTGTAATACATAAGAGAAAGTTTAGGGGAGATCACTCCCACTTTATTTATCCTTAGATTTCACTTAGCAGCTGTTGCACATTTGTTGTCATTATCCTCCTAATTTTTTTTTCAGACAGGATTCTTTGGTTTGTTGTGTATTAGTTTAATAGCAGTCCACTGTATGCACATGCTAGTCAACTGCAGTCACATCTTATGTAAGAGGTAGGGATATTTTTAAATTAGGTTTGAATACAATATTTACCATTATTAAGTCACACGTTTACCTTTTAATAAGTTACAAAGAAACCTAACTTGATCTAACTTTTGTAAACAAACTCTAACCCGTATCTTTGCCTTTGTATAGAACTAGCAGCCTAGCATTAGACTACGCTGATGTCATTGAAGTTGCACTGAAAACAGGACCGCAGAAATTTCGCAAGTTTGCCAAGGCAGCCAGGTAATAATGTATTTCACTCTCTATCATCAAATGATTAAACTTTGTGTGACAAAGGTTATATAATTTTCTTTTACTGTCACTTCTAAGAAAAGAAAACTGTAATGTAAAAAATAATTTTTGTCCAAAAAAACCCCAGATTATTGTTGGGAAAATATTCATGTTATTTTTCCTCTTCCATCTAGGAATACTGTGAATGGGTTTCTCATATTCACACAATTTGGTTTCTGCTGTGTGTATATTGTATTTGTTGCTGCAAATATAAAAGAAGTATGTTCATGCTTTTCTACTTTATTGTGGTGATACTATTTAAAATTTTCAGTAGAAATGTGTTGTATGAAACATTGTTTAAATTTGATTTATCTGTTTTTTGTCGCCAGGTGATTGTAGCTTTTGACAAAGATTTCAGTGTGAGTGACCAGCTCCTTCAACTGGCTGTGACTGCCCTAATGATCCCTTATGTTTGTGTTCGCAATCTCCAACTTTTAGCTCCATTTTCTGCATTTGCTAATGTTCTGACAGTCATAGGTCAGTAGACCTTTTGTTTGCTAATGTTCTGACAGTCATAGGTCAGTAGACCTTTTATTTGATAATGTTCTGACGGTCATAGGTCAGTAGACCTTTTGTTTGCTAATGTTCTGACAGTCATAGGTCAGTAGGCCTTTTGTTTGAGCGCATAATAGTTTACTCACTTAAAGTAGTGTTATTTACAATACATTTCTAAAAAAATTATTTAAAGAATCATGACTTAAAGTTATATTTTATTGCTATTAAAAGTATTTTTATTAAAACTATTCTGCTCAGGTTTAATCATCACATTCCAGTACATTGTCCAAGATCTGCCCAATGTATCAGATCTCCCAAGTTTTAGCAACATCCACGAGCTGCCATTGTTCTTTGGTACAGCTGTCTTTGCTATTGAAGGCATCAGTTTAGTAAGTCTTTCTTTATGTGGACATAAAAATATATTGTTTCATCAGCTGACTAGTTTTATGTGTGAACCTTATCAACAGATTGTTTCAACCAGTGGTCAAAACATTATTTACGAGCCGACCCGCGGCGTATCATACGCCACTATTTAGTTGTTTTAATTTCTACTTTTCAGTAATTCATAATTTGTGAATTCGATAGTACCAATGCTGCCACTGAAAATATTTGCTTTAAAACACTATCAGTAGCTCGTTAAGGACGATATACTCTTCCCCCCCCCCCCCCCCCCCCCCCCGTGAAAAAAAAAATTCTCTTAGTTACATCCCCTAAGTTTAAAATCGTTTCAAACTACATTATCTGCCCCTAATAGCCGTCACTAAACCCGGCTCTACGATTGTAAACATTTAGCGTGAACCACAGTTCACCAGACCATGTAGGGGTGGGGGTGGTAGGGAGCGCGCTTACAGCTTGGTGTTTTCTATGGTCTCCAAGAAGAGAATTATATATTTAGATAAAAAATGAAAATGTTATTGTTTGAATAATTAATAGTTAATTATTTGAAGCACAATGTATAGAATAATTTCATTGGTTTAGCTTTAAATGAAAAGATAAGTTTCATAAAACCTTTACAGACCTATGCGTCCACAGTACCTCTAAATTTTTGTGTGTGTGGTACAGTCTGGCGGGCCTGAGGTCGCTCAACTAAACATAGTACATTTATATAAGCCTAGTAGCGGAAGTCTAGTTGGTAACAAGATTTAGAAGATACCGGTGTAAGCGGGAAATAATAAGTTTTATTTACGTTGTTTTCTGGTTGTTCTATTACTTGTGGTTCATTTTCTATGATTTTCCTAAAGTTGAGAATTTTTTTGTCAAAATTATGGGCAATACAATTAGTGAAATTAAATCTAATTAAAATACGTCTGCCGTTGAATCAGGCTTTATTTATAATGTAACTATTGGAGAAAAAAAAGTAGCTTCAGTGACTACTTACATTTTTTTTTTGCATTTTAAACAATTTTTTTTATAGAAATAATATTAGAAGTAGTTTTTTATTTGGTATTCTGAGGGCTTAGTATTATTTTTATTGATTATTAGTAAACTGTTATGCTATTTAACCTTAAACATAATAAACGTAGACTAATTTTGTGTAGAATGCTTTTCACTTTATATATTTTACGTAAGTGGTTAATTTAGAAAAACTTTTACTAAGTGGTTGAAAAAAATGTACTGTCTTTTGCACCAGCTGTAGGGGAAGTGAAATAAATTTGATGCCCCTCCGAATAAAGGGTCAAATTTAAAAACATGAAAGAATAATAAAGAAATAAGGACCAGCAACTGTTTTCTATGTTCTGTCCATTGTTTTATTTTCCAGGTTCTGCCCCTTGAGAACAAGATGAAACATCCTGGTGACTTTGGGGGCTGGGTGGGTGTGTTAAACCTGGGCATGGTCACCACAGTCTGCCTGTATGCTGCTGTTGGTTTCTATGGTTACCTACATTTCGGAGATGCCATAGAGGCCAGCATAACGCTCAGTCTCCCAAAGACGTCATGGTAAGTTTGGTTGTTTGGGAGGGGAAACACTGGGTCTTGGCATTTTCTAATTCTTAAATAATTATAATTACCCTCATGAGTGGAACTATTCAGTTTTAAAAAGTTGATCTGTACTAACTCTAAACCCACTGGGTTTTGTTCACTAAAATTTAAAATGTTCCCTTAAGTCGCTGTATTTGTTTTGTTAACTAAAATGACAATGTTCCCTCCAGGCTGTACCTGTCTGTGAAGCTCATGTTTGCTGTGGCTATTTTTATCTCCTACAATGTCCAGTTTTATGTTCCCATCAAAATCTTGTGGCCAAAGATCAAATCCTGGATTAGGCCTGAATTTTTTCGCAAGAAGGGAGAGTACTTCTTCAGGATCTTTATGGTCCTAGTTACATGTAAGTATCCAAGTCCCTTAACTCTTCCATTGTCCTAGTTACATGTGAATAACCAAGTCCCTTAACCCTTCCATTGTCCTAGTTACATGTAAGTATCCAAGTCCCTTAACCCTTCCATTGTCCTAGTTACATGTAAGTATCCAAGTCCCTTAACTCTTCCATTGTCCTAGTTACATGTGAATAACCAAGTCCCTTAACCCTTCCATTGTCCTAGTTACATGTGAATAACTAAGTCCCTTAACTCTTCCATTGTCCTAGTTACATGTGAATAACCAAGTCCCTTAACCCTTCCATTGTCCTAGTTACATGTAAGTATCCAAGTCCCTTAACCCTTCCATTGTCCTAGTTACATGTGAATAACTAAGTCCCTTAACTCTTCCATTGTCCTAGTTACATGTGAATAACCAAGTCCCTTAACCCTTCCATTGTCCTAGTTACATGTAAGTATCCAAGTCCCTTAACTCTTCCATTGTCCTAGTTACATGTGAATAACCAAGTCCCTTAACTCTTCCATTGTCCTAGTTACATGTGAATAACCAAGTCCCTTAACTCTTCCATTGTCCTAGTTACATGTGAATAACCAAGTCCCTTAACCCTTCCATTGTCCTAGTTGTATGTGAATAACCAAGTCCCTTAACTCTTCCATTGTCCTAGTTGTATGTGAATAACCAAGTGCCTTAACTCACACAGCAGCTAATGGCCATCAGGCTAAGTTTTTAGTGTCAGATCAATATTAGCCACAAGCTTTTAGGTAGCTGAGGGTTAAATAGGGTACGTTTGATTTGTAGGCAGTGGAGGGTTAAACAGGGTACGTTTGATTTGTAGGCAGTGGAGGGTTAAACAGGGTATATTTGGTTTGATCTGCATATCATGAAGCTGTGAACTATTGGAGCAGATAAAGTAGAGCTTGTGTTTTACTTTGACCATGGCCAATGAAAGAACTGTTTAATCAACACTGACTGGCCATTAACTGTCTTAAGACGAATAAACTCTGGGACATTCTTCCCTGGGAGTGAACTCTGGGACATTCTGAAGATTTGTCCACTTAAGAAACTCAGCTTTGAAATTTTAAAAATAGTTTTCTATTTTTTGACAATCAGAATCAATCTATGTGTTAAAAATAAATATATGGGCCATTAAAATTAATTTACATTAACAAAAAAAATATTGACCATTCAGATAAATCTAGCTGTGTAAAATAGCCACAACTATAACTACTTGAAGCTGTCAAGATGATATCTCTGTATAACTTACCGTTTAAATCTCTGTATAACTTACCGTTTAAATCTCTGTATAACTTACCGTTTAAATCTCTGTATAACTTGCTGTTTAAATCTCTGTATAACTTGCTGTTTAAATCTTTGTATAACTTACCGTTTAATTCTCTGTATAACTTGCTGTTTAAATCTCTGTATAACTTACCATTTAAATCTCTGTATAACTTACCGTTTAAATCTTTGTATAACTTGGTGTTTAAATCTCCCGCAGATGGTTTTGCTGCGGCCATCCCAAAGCTTGACCTCCTCATCTCCCTGATTGGAGCGTTTCTGAGCACATCTCTGGCGCTGATCCTGCCTGCTCTCATTGAAGTGATCACTTTGTCCGCGGACAGCGAGCAGCTGCCCTGGTACATCGTGGTTAAAAATATCTGCATTGGCTTGTTTGGTGTGCTGGGCTGCATCACAGGAACCTACTCTTCCATCAATGATATCATCATTTCATTTAGCAATAGTACATCCAGCTAGCTGTCCTGACCAACTTATTCTAAAAGGTATTTTAAAAGTCAAATATACTAAGAATTTAAAATCCCACAGCTCTTAATAATTTTATTAATAAATACTGAATCTTTCTATATTTTTTTTTTTCACTTTTAGAAAATGTTTAAAAAATTGACTCTAAAAACCCTGTTGTATCTGTTGAATTAAATTTTAGACTTAAGCTGCTGGTTTTAGTTGACTGATTAAATAACAGATGTTAAATAACAACTTACCACTGGAAGTAAGTTGGTACAAATCTGTATTTACTACCGTTTAAATGTTTAGTTGGCCGACATGTTAAAACAGTTACAAAATTGTTATAACTCTGGGGTTGGCTTTTTCTAATGTACATTTGATATCACCTGTACAGTCGCTTCCCTGTGGGCTGTGAATGTTGGGACTGGAATTACTGGCCTGACTCACAGAATGGAACAAATTCCCATGATTTCCTGCTCAATGTTTTCTACCTTTTATGTTGTACATCACAAGTCATCACTTTTGACAAGTGATGTTTTTGACAAGTGATGTTTTTGACAAGTGATGTTTTTGACAAGTGATGTTTTTGACAAGTGATGTTTTTGACAAGTGATGTTTTTGACAAGTGATGTTTTTGACAAGTGATGTTTTTGACAAGTGATGTTTTTGACAAGTGATGTTTTTGACAAGTGATGTTTTTGACAAGTGATGTTTTTGACAAGTGATGTTTTTGACAAGTGATGTTTGAAGTGTAAATGGAAAATGAATGTTAACTTATTTACATATGACATTTAAAATGTCAATTGGATTTCTACACTTAAAGAATTGAGATTGTTTTTTAACACATTTTCTTGTACATAGCTCTCCTACTGCAGGCATGTGTATGTATGCTTCGTGTGTATGCTTCATGTGTATGCCTCATGTGCATTAAATAGAACCATGTACGTGTGTGTGCTGTCCAATGCCTCTTGTATGTAACAGATGTGAGGGTCCACTTTATTCCTGCTACCTGTTGGGCTCACTTGATCTTTTGAATCTTTTTTTGTACATATGTATGTCATGTAGGATTTTGGCTATTTATCCATATAATAAATGTGTGATTGTGGTATTATATCAAGAGAAACATGTGATGTATAATAGTGGCAGTTAATCCACACGAATGACTGGATGTTAATCCATGTGACCTAATGCTCCAGACAATGGCAGAGTTCATGTTGCCATCTATTACAATGTGTACAGAGTATTTGAACCTATTTGCATCTATTACAATGTGTACTGAGTATTTGAACCTATTTGTGCCTTTTTTGATTGTGTCAACTTCAGTTTTCAGAAGTTGACAAGTTTACAATGTTGTCATACCTATACCTCCCCCCATCCTTTTGATGTTGAATCCTGTCTTTCACCAGTCCTATGTCAGGACCAATGTCTGATCTTTATGTGCCAATCTTGTTTCACTTGCTGTTGGGCATTAACTATCAATTTGTTTTCCTGAAAACTTTGTCTTAAAACACTTGATGTACAGGTAGTTTTTAGTTTACCTGGGTTCCAGTGAGGTAGATTAACAAGAACATTAGCCTGGGAGTGTTCCCAGCCCAACTGCAAGCAGGCTATGACAATGTAACTTGCTGGTCCCATCATGAACTGCTACCCTGGAGTCTACATCCAGTACATTTACTTTTCCTATTGAGTCCATTCATTGTTTTTTGTTTAGCGTAATGTAGTTATACTTAACTTGCTTTTTAAAACTCCAACCAATACAAAATAAAATTACAATTTAAAAAAAAAAGTTAAATCCTACCTTCACAGGGAAATAACTGTTGCCTCACATGAAGGCTGCCTGTGTTTTCTTACAATTTATTCAATTTGGTGGCTGTACAGTGTAATTTAGTCATGCATGGATTAATTAATTCATTAGTCTAGTAATTAATTCATAAAAGTTTCTGTAAATTAGCTGTTAATCTCATTTGGTTAATGTTCTTTATGATAATATTTTGACTTTTTGATTGGTTAAATTTAATTTCTCATTGACTTGTGATAAAACAAAATTTCTCATTTCTCTGTTCTTGATTCTCGAATGACATTCCGTGGGGTAGATTGGCTTAATGAGTTAACATTATTTTAAGAAAGCAGCATCTGGTTGTCTTAGTTTAGTTAAATTTAAATCCTTTTTAGATGTGGTATTAACATGAAGATTAAAACTAGTATATATATTGTAAAGAGCTTAGTATTAACTTCTGATTTAAATTTAATGTGAGATTTTTTTGGTGTACATTCTATATGGCTGTAAATAGGGTGTGAAATGTAAATGAGCTAGTTATAAAGTTTTAAACTGCTTGGCTTTGAAGGTGTAATAGATGCTAGATTTGCTTGATTATGTGATGTGTACACTATTCAACAGATTTTGTTTTAGTTTTATAACGTTTTATATGCTGACTTTGAAAGTTATAACATTTGTTTTATAACTTTTTATAAGCTGATTTTGAAAGTTATAACATTTGTTGTATAACTTTGATTTGAGTCACACTACATTTACCCATAAGTGCAGCTATAGTAAAATTTAGAGGGGGGGGGGGGGGTGGTACAAAAGTTATAATTTGGACTGTGTAGTGAAATTTTTATCTGGTGAGGTACATTAAAAAAAGATGGTTTTAAAGGTGGTGTGGGCAGTAAAAATTGTTTAGATCTGTAGAGGACAGTTTGAGTGATGTTACTCTTGTGATTTCATCTTTATAATGTAATCAAATAGCTAGTAAGAATATATATTTAAATATGTGCTTTTTATTTTGTTATTTTACTCATTCTGTATCAAATGAGAAAAATGTTCCAGCAAAGCTTCCGGTGTCCTATAAAAGTGATTTACATGTGTGTTTTGGTGTATGAAGATGGCAAATTTAAAATCTGGAATGAATGGCTTATTTAAGAGGTACTTGATGCACCGTTCTTGTCAAATAATATGTCTTTAAACAAAAATAAAGTCGCTAATTTTTAAAGTTTGAAGTAATTGTTTTGATCTTTTGATTGAGTATATATTAACCATTAGCATATTGAACAGCTACAGTTTGGGGCATTAATTGAAACCCAATTAAACAATTGGTTATTAAAAATGTATTCTAAACATATATAGAGACCAACAATATTTTAGTTTTAAATAAAAACGTTTATTCTGGCGTGTTATTTTGAAGTTTTTTTTTAAATATTTTTTCCTTGATAAATTCCACAGAGAAAGAGAGATAATTCGTATTGGCTTTGATTTAGCAAGTTTTAAGAGTAGTCGGTCCTGACCACGACTTCTCAATAGAAAACATTCCAGTTAAATGTGATGTAAAGCTTGAAGAAGCTGTGATTGCAGAGGCGTAGCTAGGGAGGGCGGCCGCCCCGGGCGCCGACCCTAGGGGGGGGGGGCGCCAAAAGGGGTAGAAAAAAATTAAAAGCTCATTTTAAGCTGCAATTTTGAATTATAATCAAAGTAAAGAAATTTAACGGCTTAAAGCCTTTGCATACTGATTTAACTGTTTTCTACCTTGGTTGTGTAACTGTAAAACGTATATCTTTAAGAAACAGTGACCGGAAAAACCGCTTTCCAGCTTTACTAGATGGGGAGGGGGGGGGCGCTTTTTCGAAGACTTAAATCTGAAAAATTCACACCGGATTAAGGAATAAACCGATATCACCCAGAAAAGAAACCCATTGAACTAAAGCGTATTTTACGATTGTGTAACATAAAAAAAGAGTTAGCAGACTGTCGGAGCGGGTGGATGGGAAGCGACACTCTTTGCCAAAATTTTAAGAGAGAAGAAAATTAGTATATTGTACTGATTATTACTTTGTTCAACCTAACTGATAATTCAAAATTGCAATATTGGCCTACTATTATCGAAATTGTTCTAAAGACACGACCAAAAGTACACCAAATAAGGCTTGCACCTTCTACAAAATACACTCTAAAGCAGTGGTTCTTAACTTTTTGGAGTACCGAACCCAACCATTTTCATATGCGCAATCACCGAACCCTCCTTAATAGTTGTATTGTCCACAATGACAAAATCCGATCGTGAATCATATGAGTCGGGTGTGTGTCTTCACCTCCGCGGAAGCCCTGAGACTGAATTACCGAACCTCTCGGATTCGATGGAGCCCACTATTCTAAGCTCTTTTGATTTTCTACTTTTTATTCGTTTCGGCATCTTAAGGGGAATTTAATTGGCGTCCAGTGAAGTTTTAGGGAACGACAATCAGCGTAATTGTTAATTTTTTTCCAGACTGTCGCACACACAAACACACACGCATATATACATATATATATATATATATATATATATATATATATATATATATATATATATATATATATACATATATATATATATATATATATATATACATATATATATACATATATATATATATATATATATACATATATATATATATATATATACATATATATATACATATATATATGTATATATATATATATATATATATATATATATATATATATATATATATATATATATATGGGGGCGCCAAACTTAAAGTTCGCCCCGGGCGCCAGGAGGAGGTCGCTACGCCTCTGTGTGATTGCTGTTGGCTTTGGTAGAGACGTGACTTAAATCTACTAGTTTAATTGATGGAATTAATTACAAAAGAATTTCTGATACAATGTGCTCTCAAATGTATAAACAATAACCAGAATTCCAAATTAACATCTTAAAATATTTTTAAAATGATGATTTAAACAAAAATATATAGATAAAAAGTGAAATAAAAATGGAATAGCAAAAACATTTGCTTTTATTTGACGACGCTAGTTTTCAATAGAAGTGAGTTATGGGACAATTGAAAAAATAAACAATGCTAATTGCTATTAATTTAATGAAAATGTGACCTCGTACTCATCTAAATATGAGTCAAGAATGAGAAGAAATATGACCTGACTCTTGATGGGACGGTAAGGCTTAGCTTTTTTTTTTAGAGCGGCAAGGGACACAATCCAGGGGTGTGGCAGGGGACACAATCCAGGGGTGTGGCAGGGGACACAATCCAGGGGTGTGGCAGGGGACACAATCCAAGTGTGTGGCAGGGGACACAATCCAGGGGTGTGGCAGGGGACACATTCCAGGGGTGTGGCAGGGGACACATTCCAGGTGTGGCAGAGGACACAATCCAGGTGTGGCAGGGGACACAATCCAGGTGTGGCAGGGGACACAATCCAGGGGTGTGGCAGGGGACACAATCCAGGGGTGTGGCAGGGGACACAATCCAAGTGTGTGGCAGGGGACACAATCCAGGGGTGTGGCAGGGGACACAATCCAGGGGTGTGGCAGGGGACACAATCCAGGTGTAGCAGGGGACACAATCCAGGTGTGGCAGGGGACACAATCCAGGTGTAGCAGGGGACACAATCCAGGTGTAGCAGGGGACACAATCCAGGTGTGGCAGGGGACACAATCCAGGTGTGGCAGGGGACACAATCCAGGGGTGTGGCAGGGGACACAATCCAGGTGTGGCAGGGGACACAATCCAGGTGTGGCAGGGGCACAATCCAGGGGTGTGGCAGGGGACACAATCCAGGGGTGTGGCAGGGGACACAATCCAGGGGTGTGGCAGGGGACACAATCCAGGGGTGTGGCAGGGGACACAATCCAGGTGTGGCAGGGGACACAATCCAGGGGTGTGGCAGGGGACACAATTCAGGGGTGTGGCAGGGGACACAATCCAGTAGTTTGTACATATGAGACCTATTCTTTTAATCTGTAGATATGACTAGTGAGCTTAACGTGAGTTTTTAGGGTTTAACGATCGTACCTGCAACAGATCTGATTATCTGATTATCATTTCCTTGTACTTACACTAACCATACTAACAGCGCTGAGGCAATGATCTGGTGTGATGTAGCAGTTGTCTAAAGTCTAACAATGACAACTAAAACTGCAATATTGTCGATAGAGATGTGTTTTTCTTGTTTTAAAGGAAATCATTCATTTCCTTCAAGGAAAAATTTCCACCCAAAAATAAAATAAAATAAAATGCGTTGTAGTTTGTTCGGACAAAGGCTATGGAAGCAAAGCCAAAAGGAAAAGCAGGCTGAAATCGGAGTCAATGGCCTCAATAGCGCTTAACACGTTGACACGTCAATCCACGACATACTATATATTTTAATTATTAGTGTATGAGCTGCTCAGTTAAAACACGACGTCTCTGCTGCCTCTCAGCCCCCCCCCCTTCACAAAGTCCTACACCAACTTGTGGTGAGGGCAAATACAAATTTACGACACGGCACAAAGAGGTTATCATGACATTTTTATCCGGCACTCCAATAACCGCAGAACAAAATCTATTTCTGTATCCAATGAAATATCCAACACAAAAAAAAAAAAAAAAAAGAAAAAGAAAAAAGTAAAAGAAGAAAGATAATAAGCTCCAGCTGAAGAGAACAAGGAACCTGCCACTTTGCATATTGTTTTCATCGTCTCGGCTTCCTGAAAAAAAATCTTGCATTAATGTAAAGTGCAGAGGATAAATGAATCTCTTCTGATCATTCGTGGTCGACGTCACGGGGTTAAAGGTCGCGGGTTCTCATTGTTCTTCAAATTATCGTCCCAAATGACGTATTAAAGTTACACATGACGTAAACAGAGGTCAGATTGGGGGGGGGGGGGGATTAGTCTATTCAGATGGTTTCTATTTTGCAGCTTATCTAAGATAAGTTGTTTTGAATTAAGTTTTAATGAGTTGATATGCCTATAAAACGTCAAGGACACAGTGAATACTAACATTTGTTCAAGTACATTAACACACAAAATGTAGTAAATAGAGATCAGTTTGTCGTGCAAATATTTGTTTTCATTGTTAATTAAAGGGGAGGCAACTCTTCTTAAAATGTATTTCTGAATTATCTCTCTTAATCAAATTTCAACTGCACCTAACTATTTCTCGGGTAATCGAGTTATCGTTCCTGTCAGGCAGGTCTAGCAGAGGCTTTGTTTATTCATAAAAAAAAAACAAAAAAACATCCGTGAAGGTTTCAGCTTAATCTTCGTTACTTCTTGTTGTCTGTCTGTATGTGTGTGTGTATGTGTGTGTGTGTGTGTGTGCGTGCGCGCATTTAAGTACGCGTGCGTGTGTAGTGTGTTTGTGTGTGCGTGCACCAGGCATGGTCTAATTCTTGGTGTTGTTTTTCTAACTATCGAATGTCTTGGTCCAAACTTTAAAACAACTAGTCATTACACTAAAAAGAAAAAAAATAGTCGAAGCTATCAATCTTAATTAAGTTTGGTTTGTGATCGTAGGATAGATATACTCAGAGTAGGGGTTATAATCAGAGTTTCTTCCAGGCATCTCTTCGGGGGGGGGGACTCGAAGAAAGTCTAACGCCCCCCCCCCCCCAACGAAATGGAATTTATATAGTAAACATATACTTTTACTAGTGTCCGTCGTCGTCCCCCCTCCCCCGGAAAATGTAGACCCACCCCCACCCCCACCCCCTCCCCGAAAATATCAAGTGCATCCTCGGAGAAAAAAGTCTGGAAGAAACACTGGTTATAATGTGAGATGTTATTGTGGCCTTGTGTGAGTTGGGTTTAAAATCTGTTCTCTTGCCCAGGTATCAGATGTATTGATGTTAGGATTTATATAGAGCTTTTCAGAGGCGTAGCGACCCCTCCCGGCGCCCGGGGACAAACTTTCGATTTACGCCCCCCCCCCCCCCCCTCGAACTTTTCATTTGCAACCCCCACCCCCTCAAACTTTCGATTTCCACCCCCCCCCCCCCTCGAACTTTTCATTTGCACCCCCCCTCAAACTTTCAATTTGGCGCCCCCTAAGGTCGGCGCCCGGGGACATATGTCCCCCCCCCCCCCCCGCCCCCCCCCCCCTCGCTACGCCTCTGGAGCTTTTAATGAGAACTGAACTTAAAACATGTTTGTTTATGACACTATTGAAATTTTACCAGAGTTTTTTTTTTTTTGTTGTTGTTACAGTTAATTTTAAGTTGAGAACGTGAAGACGTACGTAAACTCTGCAATCACTTCCTATTTTAGTTATAATGATCTAAACCTTTAACCTAGAATTATGCAAACAGTTCTTGCGGTCTTAGCTATTTTGGGCAACCAATTTTTA